GTCATTGGAGAACAAAATGATATTAGACAAAAAAATAAAAATAAAAATAAAAATTGTGGATTATTATTTGTGTTAGAAATTTTGGGGGAAATAATGAGATTGTCTTATTATCGTCAAATAAGGAGCCTATACATAGGTCATACAAAATAGATTCGATAGACCTAAATCTAAGTAATCTAATTTATGAATAAGATCAAATCTAGATATAAATCTACTAAATCAGAATATCTAAAATATCTCAACATCCCCTCAAACTCAAGTGGTATAACAGAAACCAACTTGAGTTTGATGAAAATTTTGAATATAAACGCAAAAACAAAACATAAATAAAATTAGCAGTTGACTCTCCACCCACCGGAGCAAAAAACGAGATGACTCTCCACCAGAATCGAAAACAAAATGACTCTCCACCGGAGCAAAAAACGAGATGACTCCACCGGAGCCGAAAACAATATGACTCCACCGGAGCCGAAAACGACATGACTCCACCGAAGACGAAAACGACATGACTCCACCGAAGCCGAACACGAGATGACTCTCCACCGGAGCCGAAAACGACAGGACTCCGCCGGAGCCGAAAACGATATGACTCCACCGGAGCCGAAAACGACAGGACTCCACCGTAGCCTAAAACGAGATGACTCCACCAGAGCAAAAAACGACAGGACTCCACCGGAGCCTAAAACGAGATGACTCCACCGGAGCCGAAAACGATATGACTTCACCGGAGTTGAAAATGACAGGACTCCACCGGAACCTAAAACGACATGACTCCACCGGAGCCGTCGAAAACGAGATGACTCCATCGGAGCCGAAAACGAGATGACTCTACTTGAGTCGAAAATAACATGACTCCACCGGAGCCAAAAACCACATAACTCCACCAGAGGCGAAAACGAGATGACTCCACCGGAGCCGAAAACAATATGACTCCACCAGAACCGAACAAGCTGAAAATGAGATGACTCCACCAGAGCCGAAAACGAGATGACTCCACCGGAGCTTAAAACGACGTGACTCCGAGGCAACGACAAATGGTAGATCGCACGTAGCAACACACAGGCAACGAAATATGGCAGATCGCACGCAGCAACAGACAGACAATGGACATATGACAGATCGTTTCAGATCACTCGCAGGCAACAAACAAGCAGCGAAGATTTCAGATCTGCAAAAAAACAACTTGCAAATGCATGATCTCAAAATCACAAGACCATCTCAAAATCACAAGACCTCCGGGTACAATCCAGGTTGAATGTACCCGGAGAAACACGGGTTGAAAGGCTATATCTATGGCATGAGAAAAATAGGCTCTGATACCATGTTAGAAATTTTGGGGGAAAATAATGAGATTGTCTTATTATCGTCAAAATAAGAGCCTATATATAGGCCATACAAAATAGATTCGATAGACTCAAATCTAAGTAATCTAATCTATGAATAAGATCAAATCTAGATATAAATCTACTAAATCTAAATATCTAAAATATCTCAACATGAAAGGCTATATCTATGTTAGAAATTTTGGGGGAAAATAATGAGATTGTCTTTATTATCGTCAAAATAAAAAGCCTATATATAAGCCATACAAAATAGATTCCATAGATTCAAATCTAAGTAATCTAATCTATTAATAAGATCAATATAAATCTACTAAATCTGAATATCTAAATAATTGCATATTAAAAAAAATAAAAAATAAAAATGGTTGCGCTCTCAACTCATTCAAACTTTATTTTTGTCAATTTGTTGCAAGTCTCCAGCGAATGTCTGGTTAAGATATATATTGTTTGCAAAACTTGGAGATCATAGCTTCCGGCGCCGGTAATATATTTATCTAAAATATATTTAATAAATATAAATTAATTTAATTAACTTTATATAATATCATAAATTATGTAAAATCTATTTAAAACTTTTTTATTTATATTTAAAACTCTCTACCTTCTTACCTTCTGTAAAATTAATTTATATTAATTATAAATAAATAAATATTATTTTTATTATATAAAATTTTATTATTAAAAAACACTTGTTCTATTAAAAATTAATTATTAAAATATTTAAATACATACCGAATCACAAATTTATATATATTTTAAATTTAAAAGATATAATAAAATATAAATATATAATAAGTAATAAGTAAAAATAGTTTTAATAAAATTCTTCTGTTCAAATTTCTCAAAATTGAAGAAGAAGAAAATATAATACAAACCATATTTTTTCCTCTTCCTTTTAAAATAATTTAAATAAAACATAAAAATATCTATATAGTTAGAATTCATTTCTCATTCCTCTCCTCTCCTAAACCTTCAAATCCAGCCGACCCTTAAGGTTAAAATTTTGATTTTGCTTAATAGATAGGATAATTAGAATGAAAAAATGAAAGCAAGTAAAAGTTTTGAATTGTCTTCCAAGAAAAGTCTTTCTCTAGGGTGTGTTTTTTTAGAGGATTTTGGGGAAATTTGGGTTTGAGTTTGGTTTTTATTTGAATTTTGAAATGAATTTGAATTTATGTGTTTTTTTATGTTTGAATTTGGGTTGAGTTTGAAGAGTTTTTATGTATATTGATTTAACTGTAATCAATATATATATATTAATATAAGTGTGTATTAATTTGATATAAATTTATTTTATATCTACTTATAAATTTATAAATTTTTATTTATTTGTATTATAAAAAGTTTTATTTTCTATATTATTATAATTTTTTTATATTTATAATTTAAAAAGACTAAAAAAAAAAGAAAAAAAGAAGACAACGCCTCGGTCAGGCGTGTCCCCCAAACCAAACAGTAGAGCTGTTAAACGAACCGAGCCGTTCGTGAACTCGGCTCGATTCGGCTTGGTTAAAACTCGTTTGCGAATGTTAACGAGCCGAGCCGAACAACATAAATAGGCTCGTTTGATTAATGAACGAGCCCGAGCTTTCTTCGTGAATGTTCGTTTAAATAATATATTTATTATAAATATTATATATACATATAAAATTATAATTTATAAATAAATAAAATATTAATTTAAAATATATAAATAAAATAATTTTAAATTTTCTTTATAATTTATATATAAATTTTTTAAAAATAAAACAAACGAGTTCGAACGAGCTTAATTGAGCCGAACACGAACACGGGCTCAAATAAGAAAAATTCTTAACGAGTTCGAAAGCTTAACGAACGAACACGAGCCTTGTTCGCGAACGTTAACGAACATGTAAAATTTGGCTCGACTCGGATCATTAACAACTCTACCAAACAATCCAAGTTCAAGCAAAATTACTGTGCAAACAGTGTTGCACACTAATTTTGTCCGAACTTGGGTAGAAGAAACATACCCTTACTAGACTAGACGTAATGTCTTGTTATTCATTTTGTGGTACACTCGTAGTTTTTTTCTTTTTTTTTTTTTCATCTCCAATTAGGCTTCTCCGCACCGTACCTGTACTTGAGTCGATGATTACTAACATAAAATGTTTCTAGAGAGCTCTTATCATCCTGCTTGTACTTAAGTCGATGATTACTAACATAAAATGTCTCTAAAGAACTCTTATCATCCTGCAAACGGGTTACACTCCTAGATATTTGGTGGCTTTGATCTCAAGTCAAGTCGAGAGCTTTTGAGTCATTTTGTTGGAAAAAATCCCACATCAAAGGCTTAATAATAGTAATTGCACACACACAGTTAAAATCAACATATACACTATTATATATATACATTAAAATGAATCTTATTATCATCAAATTTCATTGTCAATATGCCTTGTTTAACATTTAACATAGTCGAGTCATTATATTTGCATGAGATTTTTTTTTTTTTCAAAATAGTTGAAAAGTTCTCACATGCAATGATTTGTTTATTTTCTTTCAATCTTTTCTTCTTGGTACACAACTCTTTCAAAAACTTGTCAATATTTCGGATTATGACTGATGACTTTCACTGAAGGAATGATCTTCTTTAAAATCTCTATCACCTATCTTTCCTTTTGTTTGATCTTTGTGACTTCTTCAACCTTTCAAGAAAAGATTATGGATCATAAATTGTTCTAGCAAAGAGTTTCAAAATTATCTTTTTAGTTCTCTTGAATCTTTATTTATCTTTGTCATTTACACTGTGTTTAAATGGCGGAAATACAATCATAATGCCATCAAGAACAATTATGATATCGCCATTTTTCGAATTTGACTCATGTTGAATTGACCACTTTTATTATCTAAAAAATAATACTTATATTATATATATATATTTTATTGAAATGTAATACTAAAAGTATTTAAATATATATTTTAAATTTATTTTAATCATATATATATTAATTTATATTTTTAAAATACTAATAACACTATTTATATAGTAAAAAATAAAAAAAATAATATTATAATTTATTATCAATAATTTACTAATTTACATCACTTAAATTTTCATGCCATCAATAATTTAACGAGATATATAAATACTATTTTAATATAAAAATAAAATAAATAAAAAGTAAAATGAGTGATATGAAAAATTTATTAAAAAATTTATTAAAAAATAAAGTAAATAAAAATATTTTTATTAAAAATATTGTATTTAAAAATTAATATTTAATTACTTAATAATAGTGAATTATAATATTATTTTATTTTTTTTTATATAATTAACAATATTGATAATTTTAAAATAAATTTAATATATAATAAAAAAATTAAAATATGTATTTAACTATTTAAAAAATTATATAAAAAAATATATGTATACCATATAAATAGATAATATAATTTTTCAAATAAAAAATATTTTATTTATTTATAATTAATATAAATTAATTTTATAGAAAATGTATAATTTTAAATATAAATAAAAATATTTATATTTTTTAAGAGAAAAGAAAATAAAAATATTTTGAATTAACGATGTTATATAACATATTATTATCTAGTTAATTAATATTTATGCTTCTATTAATAATATTATTGTTATTTTTGTAAAAAGACTATAAAAATCTATAATAATTTTAATTATAAATATATTTATAAATCAGCACCAATTTCTCTCTTCTTGGCTAGGGTTTTGGGTGTTGGTGACTTGCAGCCGCAGCCGCAGCCGAAGCCGAAGCCGGATTGACTGCTGGAGCGTCGAGATGGGGAGAAGTAAACTTCGTCTTGCTCGTGAATTTATTGTTAATTGTTTGTAGATGTGTATTGTTTAATGAAAATAACGTAACAAGGATGCCAAGCCTTTTATTTGTTTGTTTGTTTTTCTTTTGGTATTTCTCTGCTCGATTCGATTTGGCAGCTGTTAATGTTTTGCTGAGCCTATGATTTTGGATGTATGTTTTCATGTAGGTCTCATTAAGATTTGTTTTTTGCTTTTTCCGATATCAGTGTTCGTGATGTGCATATGTTTTCCAATTAGTTGTGATGTGGGTGTTAATTGGCCTGAATTGAGAAAAATTATGTAGTTACTGTTGTAATTGAGAATTTGAGGTTTGCGTGTGATGCTTCTTCGCTGCTCTTATTGAAATTTTTTGGAACCCTATCACGTCGAAGAGGAAAAAAATTTAGAAATAGGAATTTCTTGTCGAGATGTGATCTTATCTGAATGAGTAGGTTGATACCGTGTTGCAACGGTGGGGAGTTAGGAACTATTAGACCAAGGAATCTTTTATTCAAAATAGTCACGTTTGGACAAAACATTGATGAAATAGGAATCGAAAATAGATCTTCAATTCAAATGTGATTTCATGGCATTTTGGATCTCTAATATCAAAGGTTGAGCAGTAGGATTTTTAGAATTTTCTTGATCCATGAGACATGTGTTTACAATATGCATATTTGGTTTGTGAGTTTTATTACATGCTTTTCCTTTCAGGACCGGCCAGGTGCTATCGTCAAATCAAGAACAAGCCATACCCAAAGTCGCGGTACTGTCGTGGTGTGCCTGATCCTAAGATCAGGATTTATGACGTTGGAATGAAGAAAAAGGGTGTTGATGAGTTCCCCTTCTGTGTGCATTTGGTCAGTTGGGAGAAGGAAAATGTCTCGAGCGAGGCACTTGAAGCTGCCCGCATTGCTTGCAACAAATACATGGCTAAATTTGCTGGAAAGGATGCGTTCCATTTGAGGGTCAGGGTGCATCCATTCCATGTCCTGCGTATCAACAAGATGTTGTCTTGCGCTGGGGCTGATAGGCTCCAGACTGGCATGCGAGGAGCCTTCGGTAAGCCTCAGGGCACCTGTGCTCGTGTTGCCATTGGTCAGGTCCTGTTATCTGTGCGCTGCAAGGATGGCAACAGTCATCATGCCCAGGAGGCTTTGCGCCGAGCAAAATTCAAGTTTCCTGGACGCCAAAAGATCATTGTCAGCAGGAAATGGTATAACACTTTTTTATCGAGCCGATGTTTTTGCTTATTCTGTTTCTAATATGATTGATTTTCCCATTTTCATCTTGTTTCTGGTTTCTTCTATATTGAATAAGTTTCTGGTAATTATCCAATCATTTTTGTGGTTTGTGGACTATTATGCCTATTTAGTGATTTACACTTTTATCCAATTAAGTAAGATGGAAAGCTCTACGCATTGAATCTGATTGCTGATTTTCTGTGGCTTGATGTTTTAGGGGATTCACCAAATTCAGCCGCACTGATTTCGTGAAATGGAAGTCTGAGAATAGGATTCTTTCCGATGGAGTGAATGCAAAGGTTTGTTTTTTTGATACACCCTATTTATATTACCCGCAAATTCCACATGTGACTGCTAAATTGTTCGATCAAACAGCTATTGGGAAATTCTAACTATTATGATTTTCAGTAAGTAAACAGAAAAACAATCCTGCAGGTTTCTCCCAACAAAGCTAGTGTATAAGTGTGTGCCTTGTCCTCCTAAAGATCCAATTAGATATCGATAACAATATGATCCGACTGTTCTAATTAAAACTGTAGTAATAATGTTCTATCATATGTTTTTATCTGGGCTAATGCTGTGTTTGTACCTTTCGAATCTTGCAGCTTCTTGGATGCCATGGACCTCTGGCCAACAGGAAACCGGGAAGAGCATTCTTAACAACTGCGGTAGGGTCGAAATGATGGACACATGGGATGCATTTGCTTTCTTTTTACTAATTCCAATTCGACATTTCCGTTGAATACTATGTTTGAAACTTCTGTTAAAGAGCTGCCTTGAGATGTTTTATGGTTTTGGATTTCAGTTTCAGTGAAGTTGTTTTCAAAACTTTATTTGGTTGAGTCAGGTTAATGGTAAATTGGTGTAGTCGATTATAATGCTGCATTCCAAACGACTTGTTCACAAGTTGGTTCTGTGTTTTAAATTAAACTTTCATTTTCTTTATTTTTTAAAAAGTTTTATTTGGGTTACATTTTAGATAAAAAATTTGAAAAATTTTGGAGTTTTAAAAAATTTTAGGATGTAATATTTTGCTAGAGAAAGAATTTGAGATGATGCTATTTTGAAAATATTATTATTATTTTTTTTATAAATAGTGGTTTATTGAGTGATTATGTTACTGGAGCTTAATGCTATTTTTTTTTTGTTGTTTTTAAAATTTTCAGAATTCCTGAGTTTAGTAATTGATGTGATATTTTGGGTTAAAATATATATTTGATTTGATATTTTAAAGAAATAAATAGTACAAAATTCAAAATTAATGTTGTGTAAATTTCTTACTATAATTTTCCAAGTAATCTCATTTGTATATTTAATTTGAATGAATATGTTTTTGAAAAATATGTTATAAAATTTTTATGAGAAGAACAAAGCCAATATTATTCATTTAGATTTTTAATAAAAAGTACAGTATATTATTTTTTTATAAATATTATTTAAATAATATCAATTTCAAATTAATTTTAAATTATAATTAGTTTATTTTAAATCACAATAATTAAATTGCAACACAATGGTTTTAGATAAAAAAAAAAAAGGTTGATTATTATAAGTAAGTTAAATATATTAATATTAAAAATTTATGCCTTAATTAATTATATATTCTTTACGAAATTAAGAAAGTAACTATAAAAAAGTGAATGGTAGGAACCACCATCACGTTAGTTGGCTTAATTTACAGCTGGCAATTTCCATAATCGTCACAGCAAAAAAATACGACGGTCTTTTTCAGACCATTAATTAACTTTCATAATTGATTTATTTAGAGAAAACCTGACGTGGCCATCCGCCGTCACTTTTCAGTCAATCCGACGGCTGATATTGATCCAAGAAAACTCTGGTCGTATAAAGAAGAGTCGCAGTGCACACAAAAACCATCACGGCAATTGATCAGAGACACATCTCCTCTTTGGTAATACCATTTCAGTCCACCTTTTACCGCTGTCCGTTTCCTGGTCACTGTCCTAGTCGTCATCGTCCCACAAAATACGCACTTGACGCGCACGGACCAACACTGAGCAAGCTCCATTGATAATATCAAGGAATCATCTCAATCCACTTGCTTTGGGCCACCCATGCGGTACCTTTTTTATTATTTTTTGTTGTATGTCGTTTTAATGGATTCTTGCGGGCGATAGTTTTGTGAAATTGGGGATCTGGGATTCTCAGATAGGGTTTAGCTATTGGGGGACTTAAGATCGGTTTTAATCGATTAATAGATTTTGATTATTGTGGGTATAGATTTGGATTAGGGTTTGGGAAATTAGGTGGTTTATTTTATCTACTGTTTTTGTTGTATTGAAGTATAAAATGCAGACGAGGTATATGGAAAGGACTAATTCGATGAAAGGGAGAGGGAAAAGGAGCTTGGAAAGTGGTGGGGATGAAGAACAGGAGCCGGAGAGGAAAAGGCCTGCTTTAGCTAGGTAGCAGGGTTTTGATTTTGTTTCATCAAGTTTCATTTCATTTATATTTTTTATTGAAGAAATATCTGGAAGTGATTGAAAGATTGAATTTGTGTGCAATGGGTTGTTTCCATAGTTCTTCTTTATTGTTGAAGAGTTTACTTTGGTTCATGGAATTTGTAGCTAAACATTTTGGCAGGCAGAATTGTTGTTCAATATATATATATATATATATTGTTGTTGCGATGCGACTTAAATATGGCCATGCCCTGTGAAAACTTGGCTATGTATGAATATATTTGATTGTTATTATGCAGTTTGGGAAATGAATTTGGGTTCTTATGTAAGCTTTTTCGACGTGTTTCTCGTGTGAGCTCCAATGTACTTCTGTTGATCCTATGTCGAACCGCGCCACAAAAGATCATCTCTTGACTGTTTTTTTATTGTTTGGTTTATGGAAATCTAAGTTGTTGAAAATTGTAATGCCAATGCTAAATGAAACTATAATAATGGTGACTCTATAAGCATTAATCTGTTCTATGCAGTGTTATTGTGGAAGCTCTAAAGGTGGATAGTCTCCAGAAACTTTGCTCATCCTTGGAGCCAATTCTTCGGAGAGTGGTAAAGATGAATGTTTTCTGACTCCGAGTTGATGTGTTTATGCTCTTATGTTTAAATGTGGCTTTTACTTAATGGCATAATGCAGACAGATGCCAGAAGATTTTGCTTTTGTGTGGAACTCAGTTATTTTAAATTAAAAGTTTGTTTGCCTTGAACGATAATGGATATTCAGTTATGAATTTTTGCTTGGAAAATGGAAATTTCAGCCTTCTATTCTTTCCCATTCTTTCTTTCTTCTTCTTTTTTAATTAGTTTATTGAATATATAATGTGCAAAAATTCTGTTTGACTTTCTGCACATGCATGTCCTCTTTCGATTGAAGTTTTGCGCTATACATTGTGCATGATAGATGCAATATCTTTTAGTTATTTGAGTGAATATCAGATGCAGATAAAGCTCATGTTCATTTTATTGGGATATTAATTTTGTTAACCTATAAGCAAGATTTGTGTCTTTGTGAGTAACTTTGCCTTCAACAGGTTAGTGAAGAAGTTGAACGAGCATTGGCTAAGCTAGGCCCTGCTAAGCTAAACGGGAGGTTGTATTTTAATTTATTTTTCTTAAAATAAGTTAACAAATTCCATTGATCTAATAGAAGCATACTAAGAATATTTTTTTGCATTTCAACTTGTTGAGATGACTTAACACATTACCTTTTCTCTCTCTATTTTCTTGATAATACGAAATGCAATAATCTAAAACATATAATATAAGAACACCTAAATCAGTGTGTTCAACATTTTTTTGTTGCCTTAGCTGTTTTTGTTTTGCATTCATCAATATTTGTTGCTACTATATTATTTTAGCTGCTTTTGTTTACTGAGTTTATTAAAGTTACTGTGTACAGGGCATCTCCTAGAAGAATCGAAGGGCCGGATGGGAGAAACTTGCAGCTTCACTTTAAAACCCGGCTTTCTCAACCACTGTACACTGGGGCAAAAGTGGAGGGTGAACAGGGTGCAGCTATACATGTTGTACTAATTGATGCCAACACGGGTCATGTTGTAACATCTGGACCTGAATCTTTTGTGAAGCTGGATGTTGTAGTGCTCGAAGGCGACTTCAATAATGAAGACGAGGAAGGGTGGAACCAGGAAGAGTTTGAAAGCCATGTTGTGAAAGAGCGAGAGGGAAAAAGACCTCTTTTGACTGGGGATTTGCAAGTCACACTCAAAGAAGGGGTTGGAACTCTCGGAGATCTTACATTCACAGATAATTCAAGTTGGATAAGGACCCGAAAGTTCAGGATGGGTTTGAAGGTTGCATCTGGGTACTGTGAGGGAATACGCATTCGTGAAGCAAAGACAGAAGCTTTTAGTGTCAGAGATCATCGTGGGGAATGTATGTATGTTTCTTAATTTCAGTTATGCCTGATTGTGATATAGTTTCTCTACAATTTTCTCCTTTGCCCCGATGCAGGTGTCAAGATAACTTTGCTTCTTAACTATGTAGTTGTTTGTGCTCATTATTGAACCATTAGTCGTCATAAGTGTCTCCTCTTGATATACTTTTCTCCGACAGTGTACAAGAAACATTACCCACCCGCTCTGACTGATGAAGTATGGAGATTGGAGAAAATTGGAAAGGATGGATCATTTCACAAAAGGCTTAATAAGTCCGGCATTTTTACTGTCGAGGACTTCCTTCGCCTTGTTGTCAGAGACTCACAAAAGCTGAGGAATGTAAGAACTCTTAGATGCTTTTGCTTTTTTGGTTATTCTGTGTGTTTTGATAACTTAATCCGATTGTGTCATTTGACAGATACTTGGGAGCGGCATGTCAAATAAGATGTGGGATGCCCTCATAGAACATGCTAAAACCTGTGTCTTGGGTGGGAAGCTTTATGTATATTATCCTGATGATTCGAGACACATGGGTGTCGTTTTCAACAACATTTACGAGCTGAGTGGACTGATATCTAATGATCAATATTTTTCAGCAGACTCACTGTCTGAAGACCAGAAGGTTTGCTATTTTCTACTGATTCTTGATTTTAGATTCTTTTTTATCCGTTCTGTGTTTCTTATCGTCCTAATTTATTGTACGAAAGCGGTTTCTTTTTGTAATTTGCTACCTTACATTGTTACTTGTGCATGCTCATGGGATGCTATTTTTGAAATTTTAAGTTGCTGTTTTTAATCAGGTTGGTTCGTATAGTTTTGCTAAGTTTTCTCAATTCCCTGACCGTAATGTTTCTTTTGCTCTCATTGAAACCTCTAGCTCTATTATTTTTATTATACTCTTCATCTATATTGTGATTTACATTTGATTCTATATTGTGAATATCATTTTACTTAGCAAATTGTCCGAAGGCAATAAGCATTTCTGTCTCGTATTCATGTGTAGGTATATGTCGATGCCTGGGTGAAGAAAGCATACGATAATTGGAGTCAAGTTATAGAGTATGATGGAAAATCACTATTGAATTCCAAGCAGAACAAAAAGTCGAGCACATCTAGAGACGATCTTCCATTAGGTCCGGTCACATATATTAATTCTGTCGACAACCATCTTCCGCCACAGAGCTTGCACGATTCGATACCCTCCAATCTCCCAATGGATCACAACATGCTAACTGGAGGTGAGCATCTGAATTTTATTTCAATATTATTTTTGTAATTCGAATTTTGTTCTTCTCTGCAATGCGGTCATCATCGATCAATTAATCCAGGTTCAGGTTACGGCAATAGCATCACTTCGACATACTCTATCCAGTCCCAGTTGATAAGTTCCAACCCGCACGCTCAAGTTGATATCGCCTCGTTCGCTCAGCATAATCCGCAAGACAACAATCCAAACCAGTTCCAAAGCAATGCATATAGCAATCGGTTTGGCCTTGCCCTCGGCCCTCCTCAAACATCGGCGTCATTCCAAATCGGGGGCTCTTCTCTTCCACAGCCAAATCACAACCCTTTCGAGGAGTGGCCTAGCAACCGAGAGAATGGCGTTGACGAATTGTTGTCGGAGGAGGAAATTCGCATTCGGAGTCATGAGATACTCGAGAATGAAGACATGCAGCACTTGCTCCGGCTTTTCAGCATGGGCGGCGGCGGCGGAAATCATGCCTCCGTTAACATGCCGGATGATGGCTTCGGTTTTCCTTCTTACATTGCGTCGCCTGCTCCCGGTTTCAGCTACAACGAGGATCGAACCCGCTCTGGGAAGGCTGTTGTCGGCTGGCTTAAAATCAAAGCTGCGATGCGGTGGGGCATATTCATCAGGAAGAAAGCAGCCGAGAGGAGGGCACAGATTGTCGAACTAGAAGATGAATAGAATACTATTCTTACCAATAAATGACCTCCCAAAAATGTCTTACTTGACCGGAGGATTATGTCAGCTGACGAATGGGCGCGATATGGAAATCCTCGGTAGCTACAAAGATCCTTTTTTTACTGTTTAATGAAACTTGGATACTCTGGTACAGTAGGTGGCTTTGAACTTGGTTATCGACTTGATTGCTTACTATCCGCCGGACATATCATTTTTATAACTTACCAATTGCTTTACGTTATTTAGGACAGGACCGAGAGTGCGACCGGTGTAAAGTATGTAATCTCCTGTACGTTGGATTTGTGATTTATAGGTATGTTTTCACCTCTGTTTTTTGTTGGAATTTTGCAAGGTTTGTATTTATTGTGTTCAGGTTTGCGCATCGTTTATATAGAGCTGTGCTTTGCGCTGATCTTGGAGTGATTTCGTAGTTGTTGGCTGTGCTTAATTGTTGGTCTCTCCTGTTGTATTTTGTATGTTCTATTTGATTTGTAATTTTATTTGGTGTTTTGGGATGGGATCAATCTCCATGTTTGTGTTCTTGGCATGTGTGTTTAGATGTAGGTTTGGACAAGATTTTGGCCTTCTATTTCAAATATTCGATCAAATATGTATTTACATGTTACGAATATTTTATTCTATTGGATTAATTAGAGATGTTTGTAAAGAACATATTACTTAGGCCGTTTGGAAGCCAAAGTTGTATAATTGAAAGTGCTTTTAAATCGTTAAAATTACTTAAAAGACATGCGGTTAATATAATACTAATATTTTTTTATAACATTTTTATAATTTCATTTAAATTTTATAATTTATATTTAAAGATTTTAAATTAAAGTATAAAAAATGTACTTTTAAATTTTGATTATTTATATTTTAAAATTTTAATTTAAGGATAATATATCAATTAAACATAAAATTACAGTATAATATTATATAATTTGTATTTTATAATTTATTTTAAAATTTTATAAATTATATTTAGTAATTTAAACATAATTAAAAAAATTTATATACTTCTATTTACATTCGGTATTTAAATTTTAAATTTTAATCCAAATATAGTATTTAAATTAAATATAATAAATTAATTATATTTTTTTAATTTGTATTAAAATATAATATATAAGTTATTTATTTTAATATTATATTATTAATATTATTATTAAGGATAAAACAGTAATTTTAACTGAAAAGTATTTCTGTTTATTTCAAAAGCTATCCTCAATGTGCTTTTGAAAAAAGCACTTTTCAGCTTCAAAAGCTGCTACTGCTTTTGGACAGAAGCCAATGCAAACAGATGCAAACAATTTTTTTTTTTAAAATAGAAGTCAAAAGCTCCTGCCAGAAGCCAATCCAAACGGGACTTTACAATATTTATTTTATACTATCAATATAATATATGAACTAATAATATATATTTTTAATAATGTGGAAATTCGGCTCGGCTATTCAATTCTCATACCACTCCACCATTTTTTACCGACATATATAACATATTTTCATAGAGTGTATGCTATCTTACTCAACACGTGATTTTTGGAAAAATTAGCGGAATGGAAACATTTGAGAGTAAAGATTGCATATTTCATTATTATCAATGATGATGATACAAAAACGAACGAAAGAATAGTCTGGAAGGAAGGAATGATTACGATGGAGCTAATTGAGGGTGCACTCTGGAGGGAATCCCTGAGGGAAGCGTTTCGAATCAGTGCAGTAGTTATATATCATGTATTTGCTCTGCACCCATTTCAGCCTTTCTTGCCCTGCGCTGTCCAGTTCTTGGTTGACCCAGTCATCGCCGTCTGCGGCGTTGAAGCTGCGGTAGGAGGCGGTGAAGGGAGCCTGGGACCAGTCGGTCTTGACGAGGCCCCCTCTGGTGGCCCAGTCGTCGGCGTTCCAGAGGCTGGAGTAGATCCTCATAGGCTGCTTCTTCGGGTACGCCACTCCTACTGACTCTGCGTTCTTGAATTCCCTGATCGGAGTTCCGTCGACGGAGAAGCTGCGCAATTGGAATTGCAACTAATTAGCAGAACGAATTGTAATTAGAAGATAGATGGATAGATGGATATGTACATGATGCGTTGGGGGTTCCAGAGGATGGAGTAAGTGTGGAAATCCATGGTTGGGTCGAACCAGAGGTGGAACTGCTGCTCCCGGTTGCCCTTCCCCTGGCTGAAGACGTTGGTGTGGAGGGTGTAGGGATCCCCGCTCAGATTCCCCAGGAACTCGAAGTCGATCTCGTCGTGGGAGGGCCCCTGCGACGACAGCTGCAAGGCAACCGACCCACACAAATGTATATATAAATAAATCAGTAAGGATTGAATTCAAGAAAGAGATACAAGGATAGGATGGTGATAGTACGTAGTAGGCGGTGACGGTGCCGGCGGAGTTTCCGGGGACGAGCTTGAGCTGCATGTCGATCTTGCCGAAGAGGTACTCCTTCCGCGACTGGAACCCCGACCCGGAGGCCCTGTCGAGGGACAGCGTCAGCAGCTGCCCGTTCTCGGCAATCTTGGCTCTCCCGTCGCCCCACGTGATCTCGAAGTCCTTATTGAAGTCAGAAGCTTTTGCCGAAGAAGAATAGTATGTTACAAAAAGGAATGCTGCTGCTGCTAGAAATGCAATGGAAGAAGCCATTTGTGAAGATGATGATGATGATTATGAAGACAAGGGAGGGGTGGATGGGTTTATATAGAGCGTGTGTGCGTGTGTGTTATTTGAGGAAGCTTCGACGGGTGTGGGGTGGGGTGGGGTGGGTAAATACGGGGGTGTCAAAAGATGGATAGATAGATAGATAGATGATTATCTGTCTCCAGCCAAGCCAGCGTAATGAAAAGAAAGAAAAAGGGCAATGAGAGTCGATCTTGTGTTTGTGTGTTGGTAATGTTTTTTTGTTTGTTTCTTACCACTACTGAACACGGTTTCTTTCCTTAACACCAATTTTGTGTGTGAGGTGAGGTTGAACTGATTTGACTTTAACCAGTCGGTGGGCGGCTAATATTAATTAATTAATTAATTAACTATTGTTATTTTTGTTTGTAGTAGTAGTAGTAGTAATAAGTTTTGAATGTACAGCCAGCCACCAACCAATATTTGTGTCAATTTCATTTGCGTGGGGGTAATTAAGTCTTATCAACATTAATTGTTGTGCTTGCGTAGCAGTTATAGCGCTTGATGAATACTACTCGCTGCGGCCCCGCCTCGTTTACTGTACACACTGAAATAAATTTGAAGAGTATAATTAATAATATATTAGTAAAAATAATTATATTATGATAAAAATAATTTTAAATTAAAATTAAAATAAAATATTATTCTAATTAAAATTAAAATTAAAAATTTAATATGTAATTAAAGTATATGATTCTTTTCTAAAAAATTAAAAAGATAAAAATATGAACACGATAAATAGAAGGAAGAGAGCATTACTCACCGTGATACTCATAGCACTTTAACTAAAAGCGCACAACACATCAAATATAAATTTAATAATACAAAATTTGTATTAATATAATACTTAATGCTACAACAATTCATACAAATATATATATATATATATAGTAGTAATGAATAGTGGGATTCAAGGTGGACACTACACCATTCCTACCACTTGTGTTTTCAATTAAGAGATAAGATTAGTGATTTGGTAGTGTGATAAATCATTAAAACTATTGTAAATTTAAGTACGGAAACCAAGAAAGCAGACGCGTTGAGGACAATCAAACAAAATACAGAAATAAAAATAAAGATAAAGTATAATTTGCCATTTGTTGTGGCCCCTGAAAAATATATATTAGCTTTGTCCTACATAATTTATTTTTATTCTTTTCATATAATTTATTTTTTTTAAATATAATGATATATTTTAATCATAGTTTTTATTTTAAATTTTAATTATTTTAATATTAATTTATAATAATTTTTATTATATATATTTTTAATTATTTATTAATTATATTTTACCTAAATTCTTATATTGGATTTGATATTTAGCTGAGATGAAAAAAAGTATTATTGAAACTTTTAAATTAAATTGGCCTTATTGTTAATTATTGGGCCACATGAATCTGTCGTACTGGCTATTGTTTGTAGGGCATATTTGCCTTTTGCTTGAATTTAATTTTTATTTTAAGGAATAATCATTATAGTCCTTCTGTTATTGGGTGAGCTATATTTATTATGGGAATATAATTATGTTATTGAATATTCAGTTATCTTAAATTTATTTTAGTCTCTCCCTTCAGTAAAATTATTATGAGTGGATATAGAAATTAAAAAATAATAATATTTTAATGTTAAAATAAAATGAAGATATTATAGTAAATTCATTAAAAAATTAATAAAAAGATAATTTATTAAGTAAGAAAAATAATGATAAATTGATTATTTGTTAAAATAAAAATAATAAAATTATTTATAAATAAAATTATTTAGCTTACCATACAAAAAATAGTAGTAATATAATTTTTACCAACAAAATAGTACATTCCTATTGAGATTTTTGTCAGCACCACCCCAATCTTACAATAGAATGCTAAAATACATTTTAAGTTGGGATTGAAATAGTAAAAATTTTGAATTTGAATAGTTGTATGATATGATATAAATAGGTGTTGATGTGATGTTTTGAATGTAAAATTGATTTTTAGTATAATATAAAAAATAAAAAATAGGTGTTTGATTTGATATTTTTTGGAAAAAAAATGGAATGAACAGTGAAAATCTAATCCAATCCCCCAAACAAACACAATGTAGGTTTTAGGGTCTAAAAGTATTTTAATATTTACACACGTACATCTTATTTAATAGATTTTAATAGATGAAGACAATTTTCTTTTGAGTTGTTACAATAATAATAATTATAATTATCATGATTATATAATACCAAAGAAATATTTTTTTTTATATATAAAATATCATTGAATAATTGTTTTATCTAAATACAACAAAAATTAAAAGAACAAGAAAGTACACATACCGAATTGTAGTTAACTGCATCACTAAAAAACATTCACCTCAAAATTTCATCTTATATATCAATATTGTAGTAACGTACACCATTCAACATAGATTGCAATAATTTATTATTATTATTATTATTATTATTATTATTTTGTTTAATTAATTCAAAACACTAAGAAGTTATGTGAGCTTCGTTTGTCGTCCATGTAGAGAAATTAACTTGAAGCTCGGAAAAATTTAGATTCAAATTCTTGATCGCAGATTCTTCCTCAAAGTTTTACCCGATGGAGCTTTAGGAATTTCATCAATGAAAAATACACGATGAATCCTCTTGTACGATGCCACCTGCATTCAATTTCGTTTCACCGCTCAACGAAAAATAACAATACATCAATAAATAGTACTTCATCCGTCATCTAAATTTATGTCCAAACACGAATTTTAAAAACGTGGATAAAAATAAATTTTTTATGACAGTAAATTTGAATAAGAATTAAAAAAGAAAAATAAAAAATAAATTTAGACGATGGATGAAATATATAAACAAGTTTGCAAAGACAAATTGAAGAAGAAAATACTACCTGCTCGGAGACATATTCTTTTATTTCATGTTCTGAGATGTTACCACCGCCGGCGGATCGAACCACAAACGCCACGGGAACTTCTCCGGCAGCCTCGTCCATCATCCTTCCATAGTTCGATTATATAATACATATCCAAATGAATTATAATTCAGCACAATTAAGGCGAACTAAATTATATATATGTAGCTTACGGGACTACGGCAGCATCGGATATAGCAGGATGGGAGACGAGCAGCGCTTCAAGCTCCGCGGGCGCTACATGAAAACCTTTGTACTTTATGAGTTCCTTTAGCCTCTCCACGATGAACACTTGATCATCCTCATCAACATACCCGATGTCCCCTGTGTGCAGCCATCCCTCCTCGTCTATCGTCCTCCTCGTCGCTTCTTCATCCTTGTAATAACCTTAATTCCCCCAAAAACATTGCATCAAAATACACATGACTGTATACATAACAAATAAATATGATCAATCTCAGGCATCATATATATATATATATATACCTTTCATGACAGAGTCACCTTTGGTGCAAATCTCCCCTGCAGAATTCCGGGGAAGAGATGCCCCCGTCAGGGGGTCGACGATTTTTATCGCCGAATTTCTAATGACAGTTCCGCACGAACCGGGTTTGAATTTTCGAGGAAATTTCGAAAAACCGGGACTCGTTGTTACTACTCCAGCTTCAGTCATACCATATCCCTGTGAATTAATTCAAAATATGTTACATAAATTGTTACAATATGCAACCAATTTATTTTTACATATATGCTTATGTTAATATATTCCACAACTTTACTTTAACATTTATGTTTGTATAATTTATTTATTTTTATAAATATTATTATAATAGTATTATAAAACACTAATATATTTACTTTTATAACTATATTGAGCCAACCAATTCAATCGAGCAGATAAGTGTTCATATATTAAATGTGATGTTATATTTATATTGGATATAATATATTTAAAAAAGAATAATAATGTCAAACACGAAAGACAATGTCAAGCCTAAATGTCATTTTCGAAGCTTTCAATTTAGTGACGCCTCAATTTCACAAAAATAAACAAATTAATAGTGAGATAGAATACCTGTGCAATAATTGCGTTGGGCAGCTTGGCTTGGACTGAAAGCTCGAGCCGTCTATCCATCGGCGCCGCGCCACAAACCACTCTTCTCACCGACGACAGATCATAGTCGGAGGCCGCCGCCGGACTCTTCACGATCGCCAGAAGTATCGGCGGCACGAACGACGCTAGAGTCACTTTGTATTTCTGTATCAGTTTCAGTAGCTCGTTGATTTCGAATTTCGGCATAACAACGATGCCAGCACCTGCTCGCAAATTGCAGAGAAGAATCGAAATTAAAGAGTAGCAATGGAACAATGGCAGAATGCAGATCGTTAGGTCCTCCGGCTCGGTGTGGACGGCCGGATTTTCGCCGTCGATTTGCTGCGAGATGCAGGTCACGATGTTTTTGTGGCTCAGCATAACCGCCTTGGGGAGACCGGTGGTTCCAGAGGAGAAGAGCATAACCGCCGTGTCTTCCGCATCGATTTCGACTTTCGGTAGCAATTTCTCGTCCGATCTCATCAAATCGGAGAAATCAATTAGATTCGGCGATGGCGGAGCATCAATTGTTGCAATTCTGGCGCTAATTTCAGTCGCGGTGAGTTTTACCTTGTCGATGTAGCAGGCGTGGGTGATGATGAGGTGAGGCTTCGATATCCTCGCTTGATTTGCGATTTCCGCGGCGGTGTAGAGCGGATTCGCGGTGGTCGCGGTGGCGCCGATGAAGGAGGCGGCGAGGAGTGCGAAGGCGAATTCCGGAGAATTGTGGAGGACGAGCATAACGATGTCGCCTTTCCGGATTCCGAGGTTGTGGAAGCCGACGGCGACTCTTCTGGCGGTGAGCTCCACGCGGGAGTGGGTGAAGACGTCGCCGGTGGGGCCATTGATAATTGCAGGGCGGGTAAAGTGTTTGGATATGTTTTGGAAGCAATACTCGTGTATTGGGAGATGATTTGGTATGTCGATGTCTGGAAGTTGGGAACGGAAGATGTGTTCCTTCTTCATCTCCATTTTCCGGCGACGGCGGCGGCGAGGTTATGCGTTGAAATAGGAATTGGGATATTTTATCGAATTTGCTATGTTACCATTTTTATTAGACAATTTAAGTATTAATCGGTTGAATGTGATCGACGCGAGATTTCTGGAGTGAGTTATTGGGAGCTACAGGAGTCGAGGTCCTGAACGATCTACACCGTTCGCTGTCGATTTTTTTATCATTCAACGGTAAGTGTTCTTTGAATAGCCCCAGTCCAGGAAGCGCCGGATATTTCCATGAATCATTTGGTTTAACACTGGCAGATTTGTTTGTCTTTTTAATTATATAAATTTAATATTGATAATATTCCACCCTAATTTTTTTTTTATTTTTTAATTTTCTTTTTTGTCTTAAAAAATATGATTTTTTTTTAAAATTTTTCTTTGTAAATTTCTCAATTTTAAATATATTTAATAAAATTCATTTATTTTTATTTATTTTTTAATTAATAAATATTTTTATCTATTTTTAAATTTCTCATTTTTCTATTAAATTAATTTATAATAATAATAAATAAAAATGTATTTATATCATATAAAATTGTATTATCAAAAAAATAATCAATAAAAATATGTAAAATATCAACAATAAAATTCATATAAAAAATAATATAATAATATCATAAATTATTATTATTAATTTATTAATTTATATTACTTAAAAGATTGTGTCCATAATCAGAGAGGTCATCCAGTGGAAGAAGTACTTGTGGTTAAAGTTTTTTTTGTTACAGATAATTAAAAAAACTATTAATTGAATATTAATTTTATACTTTTTATAATGATAGCATTAAAATTTTCATATAGCTAATGATGTAAAAGTTTTTAATTAGAATAGAATAAATTATGACAATAATGTAACTAAATAAAAATAATTGATAAAATACTTTTAAACTTTACACTTTTTACTAAATATGAATATATTTTAATTTTTAGTAGATAAATTAAAATATATACTTTTTCAAGACAAATGCACAATTAATAGTATTTCTTTAAAAAATAATTTAATTTCGGTATAATTACTTGCAATGTCTCTAACTGTTGAAAAGTCTGTATATGGAATCTCAAAATATTATTGTTGGTAATATTGTAATATGTACATTACTTGTAATTTTATTTTAAAATTATTTACATAATATGGTAACATGCATAATATTTACTTGTAATTTCATTTTAAAAATATTTACTCGTAATTTAAGATATTTACAATAATATTATTGTTAGTAATCATGTAATTTGTACATTATTTACCAGTAGTTTCATTTTAAAATTATTTACATAATCTCGTTATATGCACAATATTTACTCGTAATTTTATTTTAAAAATATTTACTTGTATTTAAGGTATTTAAGATAATGTGATTTAATTAGTTAATAATATCGAATTAATATATTATTTTGTTATTTTTTTAATGTAAGCAATATTATCCTAATTTTAAAATAAAATAAAAATATATGATTAAAATAAATTTAAAATACATGTTTAAATATTTTAAATATTATATTTTAATAAAATATATACAGTATGAATATTATTTTATAAATAATAAAATTTTAAATAATACAAATATATAAAAAAAAATATAGTTAAAAAAATAATACTATTTTAATTATAATTGTTAGTTAAAAGTAGTATAAAAATAATTTTGTCAATATTTTTTTTTTCTTATGTAAAAGTAAAAATGTCTGCGTCCCATTAAAAGGTTGTCATTTTTCATTTTCGTCCCTCCCAAAATAAGGTTACAATTTCCTAATTTAGTAATTGTACTACCTACATAACATAATAAATACCCTTCCAACTTACACTATATTACACAAATGCCATTACTTTTATATTACACAATACTAATAGGGGTATTTTCGTCTTTTCAGTACAATCGATTATAATACTAATATTAAAAAATATACGTGCAAAAAGCAAACTCCGGTACGGAGGGTGTAATATTTTTTAAATAATTACTTTATAATTGGATAATTCAAAATAAATGTGTATATATTTTTTAGTGTTTTATTTATTTATAATTAAAATAAATTAATTTTATAAATAAAAAAAAAAGAGAAATTGAAAGTATAGATAATAATTTTATTGAGTGTATGTAGTTTGTTTGTGTAGAGAGTATTAGATGTGACGTTTGTTCGGAGTAAAATTTGCCCATTACTTTTTACAAATAAATTAAAATATACTTACAAAAGCAATAAAGTTTTTTAACTAACCATACCCAAAAATTGTAAGTCTTTTTTTTTTTTTTTTTTGGAAAGGAGACAAGATACTTTATATGATAGAGAAAAATTCAACTCCATAAAATACATATATTTATGAAAAAATCAAATCAAGAAGCGCAAGTTAAATTAAAAAATGGAATACTTTTTCAATTTTTAACTCAAACTCCCCCGTTGTGCAAATCTGTGCTCATTTGATCGGACACGGGAATTAATAAAAGTGAGTAATAATTGTTACTTTTTCATTTTATAGTAAAAAAAAGTACAAAAATGTAATAATTTTATACTTCAAAGGAAAAGGAGAATAGTTTTCGATGACAACCCAAAAAGAAAAGTGAACATAGATTTGAACGACGGAGGGAATATATATTGTTGGTAAGAAAAATACATTTTTTATAAAATAATTTTTGAATATTATTTTTAAAATTTTACTAAAACAATATGACAAGCATATTCAACTATGAGCCCAAAATATCCTAATATTCTTAAAGTTCAAGATCCATTGATAATAATTGTTCTTGTACGTGTTTACACTAAAGGATAATCCCACCAATTCTGAGCCCAAATTTTTAAATGGGCTTGGACTTTCTCCATTTAATAATTATTGGGCCTATTTTGGGCCTAATTATATTAATTTTCTCTTAACTATTTTTAGCATCTCCTTAAAAGTGACAAATATCGATTTAGACAAAGTTCTACATATTTTTCAGTGTGTTCTCTCACACTTGCAATATTTTATGACAATAATATATATATATATATACATATATTTATAAAAAGCTATAGTGAGACAGACAGGGTTCCTCAAGTACAACAACAAGGCACAATTGCATCGTCAAATTGATTAAAAATTAGGGTTTTGGAAATCCCTGTTGGGGAATCATGGGGCTGTTTATATATATGTATATATATATATTGGAGACAAACATGCATGTTACGATAATATTAAATGTTGTCGGAACAATAAGATTATATATGCTGTGGTTTGGGATATACAGACAACAATGATCTTCCATATATCTTCACATATATATATATATATATATATTATTAATTTTTCAATCAATCAATATATATTTTGACAAGTTAGATCTGATCAAGAGATCATTTGTATAATAATACGATCAATCGTCGTTAAGGTCCCGTTTGGATGGAAGGATTTGGGTTAAATCGATTTTAAATTATTTCTTCATATATATCATTTGATCTTGATTCAAAACATTTTAAAATTCTTAGGGATTTCAAAATTTATTTTTGTCATATTTGAGTTGTGCTTGCTTCATCCATTTGTGAAGCTTATTGTAATTAAAAATATTTTTCAAATACTTTTTATAGATCTAGCATATATGATCCAAACAATGACTTTAATTTTGATATATATATATATATATATATTTCAAATTTAAAATAAAATCCATCCATCTCCAATCATGCTTAAAGACTTTGGGGCGACATCAAATGGACATAATTAAAATTAAATAATTAACATGGTACCAGAACATTAAACATTCAAATATATATATATATATATATATATGCAGGAAGGTTGGATTAACATTAAACATTAAATAAATAAATACATTGGTATAATTGAAATAGTAGGACTAATAAGAAATCAAACCCTTAAGTAACCTCAATTAAAATGGCATAACATTAAGCAAATCATACACAATCGGTCCATCAAGTTAATCATAGCCACACAAATTTAATTCAACACATATAAAGATAAAGATAAATAAAAATAAAAATACATATATATATATATATATATATATAAAATGAATGACATCATCATGTCACAGAAGAGCCATTTCTGCTTAGTAATTTTAATTTAATTTAATTTAATTTGCGAGTCATGTGTAGTGGTCTTTTAGTAGCCTCTTTTCCTCACTTATTTTAACTCATACCCCATGTGCTACCTGTTGTTCTTACTCACTTTTAATTTGCTCTTACATTTATATATATATATATATATATACTTATTAATTAATTAATTAATCAATCAATCAATTAATTAAGCAGTCCGTCGCCACCTTGTCTGGAAGATTGCATACTGTATTTTATTAAAAAAAAAAAAACAATAATAATAAAATAAAATTGTATTTATCTCTTTAAAAAAAATAATTAATTAAAAAACCCAAATGTGTAATGATACTATTATGCAAAAAATCTACAGGTCAGAAAGTGTTGAATGTTGGTTCTTGGATCAAGGGGCAACCTAAGAATAATATATATATATATATATATATTATGAAACTTTAATTTTGTGAATTACTATGTACTGTGCAATAAATGCAGCATCGTGTAGATGAAGAACATGAAACAATGTATATATTTAATAGTATAATTTATATATATAATGAATCAATGAATGAGCTGAAAGCTTCAATCAAAGAAGTGTACGTACTTTGCATTATATATATCATATCATATTATATTATATTATTATATAATTCAATAAGAAAACATGGAAAAGTCAATTAGTGGAGTTGAGGGATGTCTGTGTGTTTTGAGGAAAGAGTGGTCTATTATTACTTAACGTAATTGAATCAGAGAGAGAAAGACAGAGGAGTGAGAGAGAGAGAGAGAGAGAAGGGTTTATTGAAATGATCTTGAATAGAGATATACATACATATATATATATATATCTCCATCTGGTTCTTGAAATGGGAAACGAGTGTATGATCTCCCACTCTCAATTGTCTGTCCCAGCCTTGGCTTTTATATATATATATATATATATATATAATATTCAAATTAAAATTAAAATTAAAGTGAATTGATGAATGAATGAACACATCTTTGATTATTGATTGATTGATTGGACTTGTGATTGATTATTACATACATCTTTGTGATATACTAACTACAACAATTAATGTCCACATCTGACCTTATAGATCAACATACATATATATATATATATGTTTGTGTTGTTCTTGGTGTTGGTGTTGGTGGTGCTTCTTGAGAGCTCCCGGGAGTTGCAGTCCCGAGGGATTTGATAAAGTAGAAAGGTGTAGGACTCCCTGGACCTCCCAAGAATGTGGCACTGAAAATTTGGGAGTATAGTCTTATAGACCAGGTGCTGATTAACCCTAAAAATTTTAGGGTAAAAATTTAAAGATTGAAGAGTGAAAATTTCGACATACATTGGCTAAAAAACATTTATTATTTCCCCGACATATTGCTCTTCTTCTGCCTTTAATGGAGGCGACAGCCCCTCCTTTGATTCCCATCTTTTCTCTCTCCTCTCTCTCTCTCTCTTGTTTCATATCTATCACCTGTTTGGGCTGTATGTATGTATAGCTGCGTCCACTCTCCATTATATATATATATATACACATACACAAACATAACAAGGCAACTGCTTCACTTCCATTCCCTGTAATTTTCATCGTTTGTTTAGCCCTCACATCCATTATATGTATCTATATATACATATACATATATATATATATATGTATGTATCTCCACTCCCAGCTGATGTAAATAAATAGAGACCCTAAATAGCCTCCCAAAAAACCCTAGATTGATAGATAGATAGATAGATTGATACCTACTTCAATAATTGCTCTAATTTGTTTGTCATTTCGATCGATTGATTTATTTCTTGATTGATTGATTGTCATGAATTACGAGGATTCGAACAACATGCGAAGTGCTTCGCTGAATCTGAGCCTTTCCCCAGGCGCCCTCATAAACCTCGACTTAGTTCTGGACCGTCCATTATCCCCGATTTCATCTCCGCCGTTGAGCCCGGGAGATCAGAGGGTTTTCTCCTGCAACTACTGCAGAAGGAAGTTTTACAGCTCGCAGGCTTTGGGAGGACACCAAAATGCACATAAGCTCGAGAGAACGCTGGCCAAGAAGAGCCGGGAGTTCAGCTCCAATCTCAGGCCACACGTAAATCAACGGCCCGGATCCAGCCACGTGGCCCCCGCCGGCGCCGGAAGATCCGCCATTGATTTGAATTATGATCATGTCGGAATTAGCTGGATCAACGCCAGATCTGATCATCAGGAAGATCAGTTCAACAATCACCTCGATTTGTCTTTGAGGCTTTGATTGATCGATCGATCGATTTTCTGATGGATTAATTATTGATTTTATAATTTGTTTTGTTTGTGTTGTGCTTTTATGTGATCATTTGGGATTATTATCATCCAAGCTAATCAAGTCTTGTGCTCAGATTCTTGATTGTTATTAGTTAGTATATATATATGTGTGGAATTTCCATGTCAAGATGGAATTTCTTAATCAATTGGGAATTTAATGATCCAATATAAAATGTGGGCATTATTAGATTAATTTGTTAGTGATGAATTTTTATGTGTTAGTTCTGGATTATTATTATTATTATTATTATTATTATTATTATTATTATGTATTTATTTTTTCAATTTTTTTTTTTTAAACTAAAATCCATTAGTATGTTTATATCTTCAAGAATGTGCAACTTTTGAAGGGCTAAAAAAATGCATTTCCTTCTCTGTATATTGATTTTAATTTTAATTATTGTTTTATGCTTTGATTCATAATATTAAAGGATATATGTTAATATGTATATAGAATTATAAGGATTTCTTTATAAATTTGATGTATGGAAATACTTTTGGCATGTTGTCTACTTGCCAATATAATTCATATATTGTGGTAATGAAATTTGTTACACGATCGAAATAACTGTTTCAATTAAAATTTAAAACTAGTCAAGATATTAATCGTTAATTATTTTTCTAATATACAAGACTCCTCAACACACGTAATTATACTAAATTTAATTCTCATTAGTTAGTTTAATTAAAATTTAGAGTGTAAATGTAAAATACATTATCAGGTTTGATTAATTGAATTGGAAATGTTAGATACAATATCGAAATAAGTATCGTGTAAATAATATATGAATATGACAATCAATATGTTTACACGAGTTTTTATTTTTATTTATTTATTTTTAAAAAAGAAGAAGCTTCATAGATAATATATTTTGAAGATGGAAATAAATTATTTAAATCAAATATCTTGTAATACAAAAAAGATGATTGTCACATAAATAGACATAGAAATGGCTTAGATTCCGTGTCTACTTTACCCCGTAGTAGAATGAGCGGTCTTGAGATAAGAGTAGACTTGTCCGATCCTAAATGATATTTTCAATCCTCAATTTTTGGCATCGATAATATATATTTTCATATATACATTATTGTTATTTTTATTTTTAAAAATTTGTCTATACATACAAGAACTTTAAACTAATTCCAAGTTTAAACTAATCTTGAAAATGTCATATAGCTATTTCAAATTAAGGGGCATGCATGCAAAATCTAAATATATAAATATAATCTATTAAATTCACACATTTAATTAAATATATAAAAATACATTATATTTTCGATATATTCTATTCATAAATTTATATTATTCTAAGTGGTATTGATTAAAAGGGAAGAATATACTCATCCTCTCTTAAAAACACAAGTAATTTTGTTTAGTTTCAAATCTATAATTAAAATCAATTAGTTATGATTTTACCCTTATTCACTCAAAAAAAATTTAAATACAAAACCTCCATTACAAAAACAATAATCCAATTAGTTACAGCATGTAAAAATAAAAAATAAAACACTTTGTTATAATCAAGTCATTTAATTAAGTAATATATATATATATATGTGTATATATATTGTGTCAAGTAGTACGGATCATGAGACTTCACATATTATTTGCAATTAAAAATAAGTGTCATGATATATATAATCTAATGTAACGTACACATCTTGAAATCATAAATAAATTTCATTACAACCTCAATATTTTTTTATTCCTAATTTAATAAGAAAATTGAATGATAATAGTGATGATGATAACGATGATTTAACTTGAATTCATTATTAATATAAAAAAATCACCATAAACAGATTAGGCCCGCCCGTCGACCCGGCCCGAAGAGTTGGAGTTCTACTTGGTATGAAATTTCCATAAATATAATTATAATTAGATAATTAAAATTCACTTTGAACCTCTCTTTGTTCCAATTATTTGTCTTTATTCCTTGAATGAAGTAAATTTATTTTTATTTTAAATTAGAGTAATTAAGCCAAAGTTGGTGTTCCATTAATTTAAATTCAGGTAAGCATCTACTTAGTACTTAGAATTGTTTATAAACTATATTTAGATGCTGTAATATTTCCTTGTCAATATATATTCTAATTTAGGCAAGTCATAGTCACCCCTCACATGCCAAATAATTTGCTTTATTTGCATTTTCATTGCAATTTCTTGATGCTTCAATTATGCATTTATATGCGATATATGAAAATACAATCACCTTTGATCATTTGCAACAAAAGTTAAATTAAATCAAATTAATTGGCCATAGATTTCAGCATTTCCAAGAGAAGTTCAAAGTTATTATCTTTTCTCATTCGGTATTTGCAATTAGTTTTTTTTTTTTTTTTTTTTTCAAGTTCAATATAATCGTCTTTCGGGCTCCCATTTTATTTGTTAACCTTGCTTAGCTTAATGAATAAGTTTTTCAACAAGTTTGAGTTAGGCAAACTTATGAACAACTCATTTTTTGATCGAAAAAATGAGCGTGTCTACTTTAAATTTACTTGATATGATGGGTTTATTTGCCCATATATTTTTTTCGACGCAATTCTCGATATTATCATTTTACAAAAGAGTCAATATTCAATATTATTTTTTATATTACCGATATAATTATCTATACTTCATATAAAAAAAAACTCAAATCAAATCAAAACACTAAACAAACAAGCCGGATATTTTAATAGAGAAAAAAATAAAAATAAAAATACCATATTTTTATGGGCTTTAGGAATGGGAAAGGCCTAAGGCGTAAAACCACACTACTAAGCCCAACTTTAAGACTTTGGGGCAAGTGGAATCTCATCTAATAGTTTCATTAATTTTAATTAAATTTCTAAGGGTGTGTTTGTTTTGATGAGTTTGAAAGAAATCTGGTTTGAGTTTGAAATATAGAGTCCAAATAGTAAAATTTGAAAAAATTATGCTAAAGAAACATACCCTAAATTGAATTTAAAAAATGAAAACGGCAACGTGTCATCAACATTTTGAAAAATAAATAAATAAATAAAATTCTAATATTTATAAAGTTTGTATAATGCAATAACATTTGGCATGTAGAAGGAGAGTTCACTCACTTAACCTACACTACCTCAAACTCTCAAGATGGCTAGTAGATTATATGGAATTATCAATATTTTGAATAAAAGTAATAAATATATATTTTTTATTTTTTAAAAATATATATTAAATTAAAAAATACACACACATACAAGTAATCAAATTCTTAACATAATATAAACAATGATTTGAATTACTAAAAATTGGTTTTTTGCAACTTTCAAAATAAACACAATCCGATAGTTCAATACGAAAATCACTTGGGCTTCAGCACAAGTAAATACTTCGAAGAATAAATCCTAAACAAAGAATAAGCGGAGATTGAAGAAATAACGGCCATAGTAGCCGCGGCAATGTAGCCGCAAAATAAACCTCCACCGATCTGGGCACAAAACCTCGTGAATTTATCGCAAACTTTCATCCATCCAAAGCTTTTCTCACCGGTCACCGCTAGCATCGACCCTTGCATCGCGGCGGTGTTGCCCGCAAATACTATATATGCTATTATCTGCATTTATTATTTAAAATATTACATCAAAATTTATTTTGTATTCAAAATATTACGGGTTTCGACACTTATTTACATCAAATAATGAATTCAATATAATAAATGTAAAGAAACAATGTATGAACAAAGTAATAAGGACACACATTACTTAGCCTAATTTATTAATTTGACTCGCATAGGTATACAACAATTATTGAAGTTGGATAATTACCATCAAATTAAATAATTGCATTCCCCAATAATTCCCAACAATAGTAATAAAAATATTAATAAAATAAATAACACTACAGTTGTGCTTTCATATCATTCATTACTATTTTGCTACGATAAATTATTATTCTTTAAAATATTATTAAATTTTAAATTTATTCATATTAAAGGCATTTTATTTTAATTATATTTGTTAGTATAATATCATAATTTTTAATTAACTTAAATATAATTTATTACGCTGCTAACGTAAATATTAACTACACAATAATTAAAATAAACAAAAATATTAAAGTACAAACTTACTAAAAATTTATAAATATATATATATTATTTTTTGATGCACAATAATAAATGAGGGGCATTAATTATCATGCAAGGCCGCGACCACTGCTTTTTCTTTGGCGGTGGTCAATAAATTAATCTCAACCAACAATTTCATACACACATATGATTTTTGTTTGTTTGTTGAATTGTATCTTAAAAAAAAAAAACCGGCAATACATTTTTAATCATTTAACACTGTTATTTTTTAAAATATACTTATTATATTAAATATATTTTTTCTCTTATAAAATATCAAATCAAATATTAATATTTTATTTTTTTTTCAAATTTTCAAAAACTTTTATCTAGGGTGTGTTTGTTTGGGTGTTTGGATTTTGAGTTGGGATTTGAATAGTAAAAATTTTGAATTTGAATAGTTGTATGATGTGATATAAATAAGTGTTGATGTGATGTTTTGAATATAAAATTAATTTTTAGTATAATATAAAAAATGAAAAATATGTGTTTGATTTGATATTTTTGGAAGAAAAAAATTGGATGAAGAGTAGAATTTTACCCAAACAAACTCTAAGAAAGTACATAAAGAAAAGAAAAGAAGTTGGACACTCTGATTTTGGAAGATCAATTTTTTAATCATCCAAGATTTGCATATTTGGCTTCAAGGATCGGATATTTAAATTCTAACATTTCAACCAATAATGTTAGGATAATAGTAATAATAATTACCTGGTCAAGAAAGTAAATTCCCCAAGCAAAGTATCTGTGAGTGTAAGAAGGCGACTCCATGGAAACTGGCAACAGGTAACTCCTCAACACCTGCATTACATTATAAGCTGCTGCAACACTGTCGATCCAAACTACAGCGCTTTATACCATCAACATTCAACAACAAATTAAATTAAATTAAAATATATATTAAAATAAAATAACTAGTAATTATTTAGACTAGTACACTTACTACAAAGCATTCAAATCTCTGAAAGTAGCTGTCCTGGTGAGAACACCAAATAGCAGTTTTGTCTGACGATCAAATCCAACTAAACAGGCTGTTATTACAAACACTATTGCTGCAAATACCCTCAGAATACTCTCCACCTTCAAAACCTCCATCACCACCATATCATATATATATCTATATATATATTCTCTCTCTCTCTCTCTCTCTCTCTATATATATATATATATATAGTCTCTCTCGCTCATCCTGTGCACCCAAGATATATATATATATATATGATTATGAAATTTAAGAAAAGAAGTGGTTGTGATAGTTGGAGTGGAGAGAGGCTATAATGCTATTTGTGTGAGTAATGAATTTGGTGCTATTAATGAAGCATTAATTAAAGCCTTGTCACTTGCTTTAAAGTAACCCAACGGTTACTCGCTCATTCACTCCTATTTAATATTCAAACTTTTTGTTTTATGTGTGTTTACTTTGTACAATTTTTTATTGATTTTATTATTTTAATTTTTTTTTAAGAAAATATTAAATCAAATATATATTTTTTATTTATTTATTATATTATACTAAAATTTAATTTTATATCATATTAAAAATAATTATTTCAATTCAAAATTTTATTATTTAAAACTAAAACCAAACAACAAAATCTTACAAATAAATACTTCCAAAGTACAATGTATAGTTTACAAAATTTTACTCATTTTATTCACTCATAATTATATATATTTTTTATTTTAAGTCGTGCAAATTAAAGCATATATTCTTTTTTGTAGTAAATTTGATGACACTACAAATAAAAAATACCTTCAAACTTATACTTCCTCTGTCTCAATGCAATAATTTTATTTATCATTTTTGTTCATTCCAAGATAATAGTCTTATTTTCATAAATAATCATATCATCATAAAACTATCAATATTTTTTTATTACACACTTGTCACTAATTTTTACACTAATACACTTATAAGGACAAAAAAGTCTATTATTCATACTTTTTACCGACTACCAATATAATGTCAATATTTCTGTCCAACCCAATTAAAATTATATTTATGTGATGGAGGGAGTAGTATTTATTTACCACTAACTACTATTTAAATACTACTACTATTCCTAATTTTCTCTAATAATAAATGCGCTAACGGACTAATATTTTAATAGCAGTGGATGTGACATAATGTTAAATTAAATCTATATTTTGTTCTTGTTAAATTAGAAATGTATGTTAATTTAAATGTGAAAAATAAGTAATATTTATAAAATGCTATTAAAAAAGTTATTGTAGTAATATTTATATAATGTTAAATTAATTGTCTATTTTGTTCTTGTTAAATTAGAAATGTATTTTTTTAAAGCAAGTGTAACATCGCTAAAGTTTATATATAGCTTTAAAAATATATATATATATATATATATTTTATATTGATATAAATATATCAAATTAAATATTTGCACATCAAATACCTCTTGTTTATCAATTTAAAATTAAGGTTTTCTTTTTCTTTTCTTTTTTTTTATTTAAGTTTTGATATTGTTCGTCAACAATTTTTTTTTAAAAAAAAATATTCCATTTTGTATTATTGTAAAAAAAATTCTAGAAAGTCCAAATTTTAAAAAATATATATATATCTAAACGGATTCGAAAGTTTGTTGGTAATAATGATATTAGATGGAAGTTGTTGGGTGGGGAGATGTGCAAATGTAATGATCCACCTCATCATCGTCATCAACATCATGCAACTGTGTAATGTCTTCTTCATTTGTCCTTGCACTGAGAAAGAAGACGACGTTACTCGTTTTTCTTTGTTTTATATTTTTTGTACTCAATTTTCACTTTTCTTAAAAACAATAAATTAAAATCTTCACAAACTAACTAATGTGATCCAATAATAAAATATATAAACATATATCAATTAATTCAAAACTTATTTAACAAGATCTTTTAAATTCCCACTATATTTACACAAGGATCATGAACAAACCAGAACCAACATTCTATAAACAACACTACACATATATTTCCAAAAACAATAAATTCTAAAATTAAATAAATTAATTAAAATCGAGCATAGCACTCAGGAGGAAAGCCACGGGGAAAGCGTTTGGCGTCGGTGCAATAATCGTAAATCATGAAATTCCTCCGAACCCATCGAAGCTTCTCCCGCGCCGTCGGATCAAGCTCCTCCGACATCCAACGGCATCCCGCGCGACACGTGTCGGCGTAGAAGTTCCTATAAGAGGCGGTGAAGGGAGCCAAGGTCCAGTCGGTCTTGACCCGCCCGCCCTGCGTGGCCCACTGGTCCGCATTCCATATACTCGAGTACAGCTTCATCGCCTGGCTCTTTGGGAAAGGGACCCCCTTACTTTCCAAGCTCCGGAATTCCCTCAGCGGCGTGCCGTCCACCATGAACCTGCCCGCCACGTGTCAGTGTGTCTGAAGACATACAATTAATTATAATAATAATAATAATAATTAATTAAATTAATTACAGTATGGTTCGAGGAGTCCAGAGGACAGAGTAAGTATGGAAATCCTTAGTAGGATCGAACCAGAGATGGAACTGCTGCTCTCTTTCGCCTTTTCCGGCGACATAAACGTTCGTGTGGACAGTGTACGGCTGCCCGCTGACGTTGCCCAGAAACTCGAAGTCGATTTCGTCGTGAGTGTCCCAACGCTCCGAAGACAGCTAATAATATATATATATATATAAACAGAAAATTATTTAATTTAATTCAATTAATTTCGACAAAATATTAAGAATATATATATATGTATGTATGTATATACGTAGTAAGCTGTGACCGTTCCGGCGGAGTTTCCGGGGACGAGTTTGAGCTGCATGCCGATGTTGCCAAACAAGAACCGGTTCTTGGACTGGAAACCCGAACCGGAGTCACGGTCGAGAGTAAGCGTCAGGAGCTCCCCATTGTTGAGGATCTTGCCACGACCGTTGCCCCAAGTTATGTCGAAATCTCGAGCAAGATTGCTGCATGAAATCTGACCCATGATGATCATCATTGCAATTATCGATGTCGCTGACCGGGAAAGGATAGCCATGATCTTCTATTTTTGGAAAAAAAATTGATCGAGATTTTGGGTTGTAATGAGAAAGAGATATATATATACATAATTAGTGGGGACTGTAAGAAGATGACGTGGAGTGTAAACAACGTATAGCTGTGAACAGCTAGGTAGAGGATGGAATGGATAACTATAAAGATTTTGTATAAATTTTTTTATTTATCAATTGGATGTTACAGTGGAGAAATGGCGATTGATGATTGATTGTTGCAGAAATGGCAGAGACGAATAGAGGAAAGATTGCCACTTGCCATTACATCATTAATTGAATTGGAGATAAATTTTCTGGTCTTAATCTATCTATCTATATATCTGTCATTTAGTTGACCATCGGATGAACTCTGCCGTTTGGATCATCGTTCCATTGCCACTAGAGACACAACAGTTTAGCTTTAATAAATCTAATATATATATATATCTATCTACCAATTTTGTAAAATTTTGCTTTCTAGTTTTTACAAGCTAAGGGTTAGAACAAATAACATTTAATTGATTACAATTTACAGGATTAATTTCTTATAAAATTGCACACTTAACCTAATTTACACATCTTCAATTAATCACCCTAAATATAATACAACAACCTAATTAACAAAATTAAGGACAATTTAATAGTTAAAAATTAATTAATTAGTTGTATCTGCATTCCCTGGCGGGGCCTCTAGGAAAGCGCCACCTGTCCCGGCAATAGTCATAGACCATATGGTCCCTCTGCACCTTCCTCATCCTGAGCCGGCTCCTCCGGTCGAGCTCCGCCGTCATCGCCGGCCGGGACTGCAACTCCTCGGCGGTGCAGGCGGAGCTCTTCGTCCTGTATGACCAAACGCAACCGTCGACGGAGAAATTCCGGTACGCCGCCACGAACGGCGCCGCCGACCAGTCGGTCTTGACTCGGCCGCCCTGCGTCGCCCAGTCGTCGGCGTTCCACAGGCTGGAGTAGAGCCTCATCGGCTGAGCTTTTGGGAACGGCACGTGATACCTCTCCATGTTCCTGAATTGCCTTATCGGAATTTCGTCCACCAAGAACCTGAACCGACGCAATTAAATTAATTAATTATAATTATTTTCGATTATTTCATTAGATTAGATATGGAATTAGGGCTTTCTTACAGAATAGTTTTGGGGTTCCAGAGAATCGTGTAAGTATGGAAATCCTGGGTGGGATCGAACCACAGAAAGAATTGCTGCTCACGTTCGCCTTTTCCCTGGCAGAAAACGTTGGTGTGGAGAGTGTAAGGATTCCCCGTCGAATTCCCCAGAAACTCGAAATCGATCTCGTCGTGCCGGTTGCCTTCCGACGACAGCTAATTGATTAATTACAGAAGCTTTTTTTCAATTACAGCACATATATATATGTATGTATGTATATGTTAATGTAGTAAGAATTAATCTTACATAATAGGTTGTTACAGTGCCGGCGGAGTTTCCAGGGATGAGCTTGATCTGCATGTCGATCTTGGCGAACAAGAATGTTCTTCTGGATTCGAATCCAGCTCCGGACAGCTTATCCAGAGATAATTCGAGCAGCTCTCCATCTTCGAGTATGTGGGCTCGATCTTCCCCCCAAGAATGGATAAAGTGCTGATGAAATGTCCCGTTTCGGACCACCACTTTTTCACTACCCCTGCTGTATGTATCACACTATCTATCTATAAACACACACACACACACACACATATATATATTTACTGAAATTATGTTATTACCTTCTCATCATCGCCTCCACCTGGTTTCTTCTCGCCGACGAGATTGTCTGCGAAATCAGAATGTCGACCTGCAACATACAATTAATTCAGATAATGCAATGTTAAGAAACCCTTTTTAAGGATTCACGAAGTGGAATTAGCTAGGACAGACCTTGAAGACAAAAATGGCGGAGAAGATTACGAAAGCCAAGTAAGGAATCAATTTATTGGAGCTACGAGGAGGAGGAGGATGAGGATGAGAATGGGTAGCCCTTGCTGCAGGTGGCATTATATATATACCATTAATATAATGTAATAATGGAAACCCTAGCTAGCTCAACAATGGCGATGCTGCTGCATTTCTTGTCTGAACAACTAATTATAATTCTTGCCCCCAAACCACGATTCTCCATCCTCAGCTCTTGCTATCATAATCGAATCTCGATTTTAATCGTCGATCGGCCATCTCCATGTTGGCTTATTGTTTTTCATTCTAAAATTTTCATTTTGTCATGTCATGTATTTTGTGTCTGAACGTACAGTTGGATGACGATGAATTACAGCCGCACCTTCATCCCAACGGCTACCCATTATAATTTATAAGCCATGCCTTTTTGGCTATTTTGGGTTCTTTACACTCAGGGTGTGTTTAATTGTTTGGGGGATTGGATTTTGATGATTTGGAATTTGAATTAGTAAAAATTAATTTATAGTATAATATAAAAAGTAAAAAATAAGTATTTGATTTAATATTTTTTTGAAAAAAAAGATTGAATGAATAATAAAAATCTTACTGAATCGTCCAAACAAACACCCCGTTACGTTTTTGCGCTCTTCTTTTTTTTGATATATATATATATATATATATATTCCATCCATATATTTAAAATAAATAAATAAATAAAAATAAAAATAAAAATAAAAAGAACCCAACAAAGTTGTGGGTTAGGTTGTGTTGCCAATATATTACATCTAAAATTTATTTTCTATTAAATATTACAAGGTTAATCAACATCATATTAATTAACTTTAATTATTGCATAAAATATAAACTACCAATATAAAGTTAAGTGTTACCATTAAATTTATCAATATTATTTTATAATTTTTATATACTTCTTTTTAATTTAATATTTTTATTTAACTATTTATTAGATTTATTATTTCAATTATTATTTTTATAAAAACATAACAATATTAGTAAATAGTATCCTAATATTATATATCCTCGGTACTATATAATTTGTCAAGTTCACGTTATTCGTCATTTTTCTTTTCTGAAAAATAATTATATATTGAAATCGCATTTTATTTTTATAATTTATAATTTCTTAATTATTTTAATGCAATCAATTAATTATTTTTACTAATATGTTTTTTAATTTTTTACTAATTACATCTTTGTCTAGATTCTAGTATATATAGAAAACTAGACAATTAAGGTAGAATGAATATTTTTCATAATTTTATATGACAATTCAATAAAATTTATAGATTTTTATAGTTAATAGATTTTTAAATACCTTAAAATTTTAAAATATATATGCTTAGAGGGAGAAATTAGAAATTAGGATTGAATATTTACACCAAAATTTTTAAAATATTAAAAAAAAAAAAAAAAAGAAAAAAAAAAAGAAAAAAAGTTCATGATAGGAAAAAGCGCGTGATGATTCTCTCTCTGATTAAAATGAATATGGCAGTCACATATTGTTCATTTTGGGCTCTCTACAGCTGGCGAATTAATTTCATGGTAATTTCGTGACTGGTCCGCTTTCATAACCCCAACTATTTTTATTTATTTTTTCTTAAAAAAAATATTAGATATATAGAGTGTTTGATTTTGACTTTGTGTAAGTGGTTTAAGTTTGTTTAATAATGATTTAATTTAATATTTTTGAAAAATTCAAAACAAACACCACCATAAATTGATAGATTTTTTATACCATCTAATCTATCGTTTATAAATTTATGTGATAGTTCTTAATTTTTATCATTTTTTTAAAGTAATCGATTAAATAGTTGAAACTTGTTGGAGAATTTTGTTATATTGAAATTTGAAATGTCTATTATACTGTAATATAAACTTCCGACAAATGATCTAAAGGATCGAGAGTTTGAACTAATGACTTCATGGTCACATATTCAACTTCTCAGCCTTTCATTCCTTGTAATATGTGATATAAGCATAATGTAATGAATTATTTTTAATAAAATATAGTTTTAAGTATATTTATTGATATTTTAAATAAATAATAATAATAATAATAATAATAAATAAAAAAAAAAAAAAAAGCTCAAGAAAAAGTAACCACCAGGTCACAATAATATTATTTCGAAGTTCACAGCACCGCCACGGAATAGCCCCACCACCACTGCCACTGCCACTGCCACTACCACTGCCACTACCAGCTCTAATAACTTGTTATTATTGCACCACATACATACTATACTAGTAGTAGTATTTTTTATAGAGGTCCAAATAAGTTGAACAAAATGTTGAAATCGTCTACGAAACATATCTTTATATATATATATATATATGTGTGTGTGTATGTACTTATGATATGAAAGATATAATTGATTTTATTATGAATATTAGCAGCAGGCCAGGCCAGGCAGCTGTGTGTGTGTCTTTGACTGTCCTTCCCTACCATTACTACCAAACACAACACAACACAAGACAACCTGTCTCCAGCTTCTCAATGGCCCGGACCAGAGACAGACCCCCATCACTATATATACCCAAATTCATTCATCCATCCATCCATCTTCAATATCTCTCAGTCAGATATGGCTTCTTCCCTTGCATTTCTAGCACTTGCAGTAGCAGCCCTTTCTTCTTCAGCAGCAGCAGCTGCTTCTGACTTCAATAAGGACTTCGAGATCACGTGGGGCGACGGGAGAGCCAAGATTGCCGAGAACGGGCAGCTGCTGACGCTGTCCCTCGACAGGGCCTCCGGGTCGGGGTTCCAGTCGCGGAAGGAGTACCTCTTCGGCAAGATCGACATGCAGCTCAAGCTCGTCCCCGGAAACTCCGCCGGCACCGTCACCGCCTACTACGTACTATCACCATCCTATCCTTGTATCTCTTTCTTGAATTCAATCCTTACTGATTTATTTATATATACATTTGTGTGGGTCGGTTGCCTTGCAGCTGTCGTCGCAGGGGCCCTCCCACGACGAGATCGACTTCGAGTTCCTGGGGAATCTGAGCGGGGATCCCTACACCCTCCACACCAACGTCTTCAGCCAGGGGAAGGGCAACCGGGAGCAGCAGTTCCACCTCTGGTTCGACCCAACCATGGATTTCCACACTTACTCCATCCTCTGGAACCCCCAACGCATCATGTACATATCCATCTATCCATCTATCTTCTAATTACAATTCGTTCTGCTAATTAGTTGCAATTCCAATTGCGCAGCTTCTCCGTCGACGGAACTCCGATCAGGGAATTCAAGAACGCAGAGTCAGTAGGAGTGGCGTACCCGAAGAAGCAGCCTATGAGGATCTACTCCAGCCTCTGGAACGCCGACGACTGGGCCACCAGAGGGGGCCTCGTCAAGACCGACTGGTCCCAGGCTCCCTTCACCGCCTCCTACCGCAGCTTCAACGCCGCAGACGGCGATGACTGGGTCAACCAAGAACTGGACAGCGCAGGGCAAGAAAGGCTGAAATGGGTGCAGAGCAAATACATGATATATAACTACTGCACTGATTCGAAACGCTTCCCTCAGGGATTCCCTCCAGAGTGCACCCTCAATTAGCTCCATCGTAATCATTCCTTCCTTCCAGACTATTCTTTCGTTCGTTTTGTATCATCATCATTGATAATAATGAAATATGCAATCTTTACTCTCAAATATTTCCATTCATCAATCACATTAACAATTTCGTCACTTACACATGAAAGAAAGACATCTTATCAATATTATAACAAAAGCAATGCATTTTTATCTGCATTGCTGATTCTTGATGATCAGAGGAAGAAAAAAAAGCCTAAATCTTGGACCGCAGATTCTTCCTCAAAATTTTACCTGAAGGAGCTTTCGGGATATGCTCGATAAAAACCACACGATGGATCCGTTTGTAAGGCGCGACCTTTCCCCACACAACACTCCGTAAGTATAAAAACAAGAAATTCATCAACATGGAAACACCAAACATGTAATACTAATACCTGATCAGCAATGAAGCGTATGATCTCGTGTTCGGAGACATTGCAACCGTCGGCTCTCACAACAAATGCCACAGGAACTTCTCCAGCAGACTCATCCTTCATCCTTAAACCATGTCCAAACACAAAAATGATCATTTCTCCAATGTCCAAATCCAGACAAGGATCAATTAGAACACACTCAATTAAAAAGACTCGTACGGGACAACGGCTGCTTCGGATACAGATGGATGAGATATAAGCAATGCCTCAAGCTCAGCAGGGGCTACTTGAAAGCCTTTGTATTTGATGAGTTCCTTAAGCCTGTCGACAATGAACACGTGCCCATCGTCATCTATGTACCCAATATCGCCGGTGTGCAGCCATCCCCCGTCGTCTATCGCCCTCCTCGTCGCCTCCGCATCCTTGTAATAACCTTCTCCAACATACAACAACATGTCATCATCTTCACAGAACAGACCAAGACATAGAAAATAAGCTCATGAATCAAAAAGGCTACAACACCTTTCATTATGGAGTCGGCTTTCGCACAGATTTCTCCGGCGTGATTCCGGGGAAGCGAGACGCCGGTGACAGGATCGACGATCTTCATCAGGGAATTTCTAACTACAGCTCCACATGAACCTGGTTTGGATTTCTTTGGTATTTTGGCGTACCCTGGGCAGGAGGTTAGTACCAAAGCTTCCGTCGTGCCGTAGGCCTATAGATGATGACACAGTAGGAAATTAAAATAATGTAATATTTATTTTATTATATTTTTAAATAAAAAAAAATTTAGAAAGAATTTGCATTTTGCATCATTTTTATTGATGGACAAATTAGTACCAACTCAGCATACTGCATTACTACCATTCATAACTAGTAACACCTATTACATAATTTAAACTAATTATATAAAGAAGTTATTGTATAATCCTGATTCATATATTAATAAAGATACATATTCATTTTAATTCTCAATTTGGTTAGAATTTTTAGAAATGGTTTTATATATCATTTACGCATTTAACAGTAAGATTGTTACATATATTTATTAGAAAGAAGGTGAAAGTTGATGGTTTAAGAAAAAATATTAATGAATAATGAAAAAAATACAAAAGGTAACAGAAAAAATAATTTGTTCACTAGTATTTTTTAAATAAAATAATTTTTTATAAATATTATAAATAACTTATTAATCTGCACTTTCTAACCAAAGAATTCATTAGCGACAAACCGGGTATTTGAAAAAAAAACCAAGAACAGCCAGAAAATTAAAAAATACGTATATGTAAACAGAGCAACAATATCTCCCTCAAACGCTAATGCCATCCTAACAGTAATAATTCAAGCCTATGTTTGGACCAGGACCCAAAATATCTCAATTATGTGGGACCATACTTAGAGATAAGTGAAGAAAAAATAATAATAATTCTCAATTATGTAGGACAATATTTAGAAACAAGTAAAAAAAAAATAAAAAAATCATGTGGGTTGAATTAATTACACATCAACACTTAGGTTGAATTAATTAATTTTACACATATTTTTTTTAAAAAAATTAATACTCCCTCCATTCCAAAACTATAGTGTGGGTTGAATTTAACACGAGATTTAAAAAATATTGATTATATTAGTAGTGGATAAAAAGTAAGAATAAAATATTTTGTCCTTATGAGTATATTAGTGTAAAAAATAGTGGCCGTTGTGTAATAATAATAAAAAAGTAAAGATAATTTAACAATGATATGATTATTTATGAAAACGAAACTATTGTTTTGAAACGGACAAAAATGATAAACAAAATTATTATATTGGGACGGAGAGAGTATATTACATATATATATATATTATTTTTATAATTTTTTATATTTCACGTGAAATATATATATATATATCATATCAAGCACATTTATAATTCTAAATAAAAGTGTTTCCTGTACTTATTACAGTTAAATATAGAATATATTGTGGGGTAATATTTATAAATTAAAAAATGGAAAGCGCAATTAATGCGTGCTTGAGTGTATTTTCAACTACTTTATATACATGTACTCTCACCGTCCACCAGAATTTATTCATTTTGTTATTTTAGTATACTAATCGCAAATATATTTATTTTTGTTTTTAGTAAATATATCTTTTATTAAAATATAAAATTACTTCACTTTTTATATAATATTATACAAATATTATTAAATAATATTATTTAATACCATAAATATTAAAAAGTATAATAATTTTTATGTATATCAATTGTACTATATATTAATATACTAAAATCTACGTGGAAAAAATAAACGAAATAAATAAATGATAAACGAATAGAGTATAATTTTATCTAGTAAAAGTACATTCAAATAAAAAAAAAACTAAAAATTGAGATTTAGTGTACAAATAAATTGAATATAATATTTTTTATGTATTCCACTTTCTAATATAAATATTATTATTATAGATTATAAAATTTTAAATATAATCAAAATATATTATTATAAAAATATTTTTATATGTAGTACGAATTAAAGTGAAAAATATAAATATTTTATGTGAAAATTAAAAATAAAAAAAAGTAATAAATTAAGGAAAGTAGTTAATCAAGCCGTAATTAATTTGTAAAATTGAAAAAAAAGAAAAAAAAAAATTACCTGTCCAACAATGGCGTTGGGAAACTTAGCTCTGGTGGAAGCTTCGAGACGGTCATCCAGGGGCGCCGCGCCGCTACTGACTCTCCTCACCGACGATAGGTCATAGTTGAACGCCGCCGCCGGAATCTTCGCAATCGCCAACAGTATCGGCGGCACGAATGAGGCCAGAGTCACTCTGTATTTCTGCATCAGTTCCATTAGCTCATTCACTTCGAATTTGGGTAAAATCAGCACGGCGGCGCCTACACGCAGACTGACGAGAAGCACCGACACTAAAGCGTAGCAATGGAACAAAGGCAAAACGCAGACGGATAGATCGTGCGGTTCGGTGTGGACGGCTGGATTTTCACCGTCCACTTGCTGCGAGATGCAGGTCACGATGTTTATGTGGCTAAGCATAACCGCCTTGGGGAGTCCGGTGGTTCCGGAGGAGAACAGCATCGCCGCCGTGTCGTCGGCGTCGATTTCGACCTCAGGTAGCAATTTCTCGTCCGATTTCATCAGTTCCGAGAATTCGGTGAAATTTGGTGAAGGCGGAAAATCAATCGTGACAATTTTCGCGCCTAAATCAGATGCGAAACGGTTTACCTTCTGGACGTAGCAAGCGGCGGTTATTATGAGCTTAGTCTCCGATATCCTCGCTTGATTTGTGATTTCCGCGGCGGTGTAGAGCGGATTCGCGGTGGTAACGGTTGCGCCGATGTAGGAGGCGGCGAGGAACGCGAAGGCGAATTCCGGTGTGTTGCGGAGGAGGAGCATAATAACGTCGCCTTTGCGGATTCCAAGCTCGTGGAGACCGACGGCCACTCTACGGGCGGCGAGTTCGACGGCGGCATAGGTGAAGACATCGCCGGTGGTTCCGTTGATTATCGCCGGACGGCAGCCGTGTTCGGAGATGTTTTGGAAGCAATACTCGTGTATTGAGAGATGATTTGGTATGTCGATGTCTGGAAATTCGGAACGGAAGATGTATTCATTTTGGTGATTCAACTCCATACCTCACCGTCTGCGGCGGCGGCGAGAGTGGCGGTGGTTGGAATTTACTTATTTGGGGTTTTATAGACGATGAGAAGATTGCCTATTTGAATTATTTTGGAAACTAACGTAAATATTCAGCATGTTTACATTGAATACTTGTTTTTGTTTATTTATTAATAATAACAATCCTAACAACATTGATATTGTTTTTTTTACACCAATCTTTTTTTAAATAATATTTTATAAACTTATTTTTTTTTTCTTTTCAAAGTAAGTTAAACACCATTTAGTATTTTAAATATATACAATTTTTAAAAATATTATTAAAAAAAATGCATACGTATAATAGATATAACAATCAAAATTAATTAAAATATATAAAAGTCAATAAAAACATATACTTCCTCCCTTCCACAATTATAAAGTAGTGGTAATTGTATAATAAAAATGAAAAAGTAAAAATAGTTTTATAATAATATAGTTATTTATGAAAATAAGACTATTATTTTGGGACGAAAAAAATAAAATAGTAAAACTATTGTATAGAAGTATAATATTTATATAATTTCAGATATATAACAATAGAAATAAATAAATTTATAATTACTATTCCTTCTCTTTAAAAAAAAAAAGATTTACTTTGATTTTCTATCTTTAGAAAATAATTTTGATTTTTTATTAACAAAAAAGTTATGATTCTTGGTTCGTTCGGTTCTAAAAGTTTTATTTATATTTTGGTTATTATATTTAACATTAAAAATATTTTTATATTTATATAATTTTTTGCATAAATTTTATTATGATAGTATTACAAGATACTAATTAAAATATTTTTTGTCATTTTTTTTTAATTTGTATTTTTTTTTATATAATAATTAATATTTAAATATAGGATGAAAGATAGTATTCTTTTTATATTTTTTACCATTAAAATAAAAAGCACACGCTAGTAAATAAATATTTTTAATTTTCATATATTGAAATGTGTTGTAAGTTTTCACGTGTTGTAAATGGCAACAGTCTACGGGCCCCAAGTAAGATTTCAGGATTTGTTTGCTTTGATTTAGGTTATAGTAAATATTTAAAATTCAATTAGAGGTGCGTTTTTTTCATGTTTTTAATTTTTACTTTTTATTATTTTATTTCCGCGTGCTTTCTTGATTTTTATTTGGGCAAAATTTATTTGTTGTCCCATATTTTATTATAATTATCAATTTTGATTCTATTAAATTTTTGTATTGATTTTGATCTCCGTTAAACTAAAATTAATTAATTGTATTTATTACAATATTTTGAATATGATCGTATTCATGTCTTTGTTTACCATATGTCTTGAATACAGTTGTATTTTTGTATTTGTTTGTCTTTAAAAAAAAATAATTATTATACAATTAATTAATTATCGTAATTTAATTTATTTTTATTTTTATTTTAATTTGGCTATAAAAATCTCATTTACTTTTTGCGATATTGTATTTAACATTAAAAATATCTTTATATTTTTATAATTTTGATACAAATATCAATCATAATAATATTATAAAATATTAATAAAAATATTTTTGTTAATTTTTTTTAATTTGTATTACGGCTTTCAATAATTCTCAATTAATTCGTATACAAAAATAAAATAAAAAATTTATTAGTGAATGAAACGGTAAGGACTAATGTGGCCCAGTACGGAAACGTTTCTTTATTACTTTTGTATTTTACTAGATTTAGTTTATCAAATAAAAAACGTCCATCTATATTGTTTATTTATTACAACCGAATACGTGTATTTTTTTTTGAAAGAGTAAGGGACAAATAAAATTAGAGAATTAAATATATAATTTTTTTATTACAGAATTGAAATTTAAGAAATTAAATGAAAAAATTTCCGAGACAAATAACGAAGAAGAAGATCAATGGATGAATTTGGCATCTGTTTTCTTCTTTTCTGATATTTTTTCTATTTTATTTTTTGAATTTATTCGGATAAAATTTTATCCCTATATTTTCTCTGATTTCTTTGACTACTCTCAGGCTTCCAACTCCTATTGGGCCACCTTCCAACTGAATTGGGCCCAGTTTGGGCCAACCGAAGGATGGGCTGACGTGTCCTCTTTGGGCCGCATTGTTGGGCCGATCCAATTTTCAGATGTGTAAAATAAATAAATACTCATCGCCTCATGGGTAAATCGAATCTAATACTCTACAAATTATGTTTGACAAGGCAAATCGGTCACAAGATCATCTCTTACGGAACTAGTAAAGTATATTATTAATAAATTTTTATCTAACACATAATACTGCACAAATCTAACCAAGAAGGGTTGTAATAACAATAACAAGGAGACATGACTTTTAAAAGTAATTTAAGATTTATGAAATATTTTCTAAATTTTATAGTATAAAAAAATATGTGATTTGTTTACTTCATTTATGATTTAAATAATAATTGAATATGATATTATATATATATAATCATATTAGAAGTAATAAAAATAATTACTTATTGAAGAACTAAAAAAATTCAAAAAAATCGTGTTTGGTTTAAATTTTGATCATATTCAATAAAAATTTTTCTTAATTTTCAATAAAAAATATGTTTTTCTTTTCAATAAAAAAATATATTTTACTTATAAAATATCAGTTAAAGAATTACTACACATTAACCATTTACACAAATCCAAATCAAATAATTATTACACATGAACACTAACACAATTCTAAATCAAATATATTTACACATGAAACAAAAATCCAAATAAAAATATGCTTACTTTTATTTAAACTGTTACTCACTCTATCTCTTAAAAATACATTTATTTATATTTTTTATTTGTCTTTTACAAATATTTTTATTTTTTATCTAATAAAAATTATATTGTACTATATTTTCTTTACTATAAATGACAAAATATATACATTATATTAAAACTCATGCCCAAAAAAATTCGAATATATTTTTAGAGATGGACGAGTATATTTAAATTATTAAAAAGAAAAAAGCAAATCCAAAAGGACATATATTTGTTTGTAGATTTAGTTTTTGAGTTTGAAAATCAAAATTTGAATAATTATTTGATAAAACATAAATAGACATTGACGTAATATCTTAGATATAAATTATTTTTTAAAATAATATAAAAAATAATTATTTAATTTGATATTTTACAAAAAAAAATTAAAAAAAAAAAATTTCAAAAAATCTACCAATGAATCCCGCCTTTGAAAATTAGTTATGCTAAAATCCTACACAAAACACTTTTCTTGATCTTAAATCACCAAATATATATAAATACAAGTCAATGACTTCAAATTTAAGTATCATTCATTTCCATGCAAAAGAAAACTAATTCCCCAAAAGTTGATGCCATTTCTTCATGTTTATGTTTCATCACATTTTTTGTTTTTTGATCAGAAATGTCTCATCACTTTTAGTGCTATATATTTTTGTTATTTCATATATAGTATATAAAACCAATTTTATATGAAAAAAATAATAATAAAAAAAACTTATGGTATTCAACCATATTTTTTACCTAAAAACAAAACCAAACACACCTCTATTGAGTAACCCTTAAATTTAGGCTCAATCCCACTTCAAAATCCTTTCTTTAAGAGCCAAAAGTCAATTTCTTGGATCCCATCACACAATTTTGCCAGCCCATATCTTCAAATTCAAGATTCATTCTCCCTTTTTTCTCAAAAAAAATGTATTAACCCTTAGTTCATGTTTCTTCCCATCACATTTTGCTCCAAAAAATGAAGTCCAATGGTGTTTTTCATGGCAAAAACTTCATCATCTCGAGCTTCATCTTCATCATCTTCCTCTGTGTATTAGCCTCGATCAACGAGGTCCGGTTCGACGCCCTTTTAAAGTTCGGACAATGTGCATTTACTCGATCGTATACTCAAAACTCGACAAATTCCACCGCTATAGCATCATCATCGTCGTCGTCGTCATTATCATCAGGTGAAGAAATTAGAATCTTGATCGGGATCTTGACGATCCCCGATCACTACCACAAGCGTCACTTCCTCCGTCTTGTCTACGGTACACAACCACTCGTCGGGGCCCGCGTCGACGTAAAATTCGTGTTTTGCAATCTGACTAAAGAAGATCAAAAAGTTCTCGTCGCGCTCGAAATCATGCGCTACGACGACATAATCATCCTCAATTGTCGAGAAAACATGAACAAGGGTAAGACCTACACGTTCTTCTCGAGCCTACCCGATATGCTCGTAAACGAAACGAACACATCTCATCCGCCGTATCATTACGTGATGAAAGGCGACGACGATGTGTACTTTAGGCTACAAAATTTGGTCGATTCGCTAAACCCGTTGCCTAGACAAGACTTGTACTACGGCTACGTTATCCCTTGCCCGAGCATGGACCCGTTCGTGCACTACATGTCGGGCATGGGGTATTTAGTGTCGTGGGATATCGTCGAATGGGTTAGGGACTCGGATATCCCGAAGAAACATCTAGAAGGGCCCGAAGATAAGGTGTTCGGGGAATGGTTGCGGGATGGACACCGGGCTAGGAATCGACACAACGCGAAATGGTCGATGTATAATTACCCGGAGCCGCACACGGGATGCACACATGAGCTGTGGCCGGACACCATTGCTGTTCATCTTTTGAAGAATCAAGAAAAATGGATTCGAACGTTGAATTATTTCAATGTGACTAAGGATTTGAAGCCATCCAAATTGTATCATATACCTTGAAGGCTTTTTTCTTTTTTTTTTGGGGGTTAGTATGTGATTTTTGGTGTTTAGTTGATTGGTTGTTTTGGTAGAATTGTTGTTGTGTTCTAACACATTGAAGCTAATTTTTTTGTGGCTATTTATAAAACTTTTTTTTTTTTTTTTTTTTTGCATTTCTTGTTTTGGCTAAATTAATTTGATTGTAATGTAACAAAATAATAATCGAATTTTAGTGTCATTGAATTGAAATTTTGGAAAAGGAAAAGAGACACGTCAGCAATTTCCTTCGACTCGAGGGGTTTTTATATTCAACTATTGTGTAAGCTTTAACGTGTAACAAAATAATACTTTTATCCATTTACCAAATTTATTCTTATTTTGTTGTATTCTTTATGTTAAATTTATTTATTCAACATTTATTTATAATAAATACTATTAATTTTATTATTTTTTTATTTATTTTAATTTTTAATTAAATTTTTAAAAATATTCTCAGTTATTTATTATTTTTTTAATAAAATATTTATTTTTCTTAATCTGTGTACAGGACCAAAGTGGGCTAATTTTAACGAGGGAATAATCAAATTCCACTTTAGTTTTAAAATTTCTTACAAAGTTTTGGGCTTACGGCTATTTTTACACAATACACTTTTACTTGAGATTATTTATTTTTCAAAAAATATTACTTCAAATATATTTTTTCTCTCACAAAATATCAAATTAAATATTTCTTCAGTTATGCAAATGTATACTCGTTTAACCTATTTTAATAAAAATGAGTAATAATTATTATTTTTTTATATAGTAAAAAAAATACAAAAATATAATAATTTTTTTACTTAAAAAAATAAAAATATTTTTTTTATGAGAATTAAAAAAAAAAAGAGCATAAATTTTAATGAGAACGGAATACTAACTTTATATATATATATATATATATTTCTAAATTTTTAAAATTCCAAAAATTTTTGTTCCAAAAATCTCTTTCTAAACAAAACCGTAGTATTTATTTTTTATTTATTAAAATATTAAATTTAAAATAAATTGGATCGTCCGGTCCAACAACACCTCCCTTCTTGAGAAGAATTCGGGACCGACTGTTAGTTGACAAAACCCCAAATCTTCCAACGCCGCCGCCGTGAAGCTCGCCGACGCCAAATTCGGTGAAATCCCAATCGGAACCCTAGCAAAATGTCATACAGTGACACGATCCCGCTCCACCCGAGCTCCCAATCCGATATCGACGAGATCGAGAACCTCATCAATTCCGATCCATCGCCGGTCCTTCCCGCCCGTCCTCCTTCCCCTTCACGAGCTTCAATCCCCGTCTCCTCCGCTCCCCCACCCCCCTCCGCCTACGTTCCTTCCAGTCTCCCGCCGCCAACCGCACCAAAACCCACTCCCACGCTCGCTTTTGCACCGACTGTTCCTGCCGTCGCCGATCCTGCACCCCCTGCGCGCGGATCCACTAGCACCAGCGGCAGTATTGCCGGATCCGCGTTCGGACCAGCGTCTAATACTCTGACGGAGCCGGTTTGGGACACCGTTAAGCGAGATTTGTCGAGGATCGTGAGCAATTTGAAGCTGGTTGTTTTCCCCAATCCGTACAGGGAGGATCCGGGTAAGGCATTGAGGGATTGGGATCTTTGGGGGCCTTTTTTCTTCATTGTTTTCCTTGGTCTCACTCTCTCCTGGTCTGCTTCTGTTAAGAAGGTAAGCTTAAATTGAGGTATTTAATGTTTCAATTTGTTGTGTTATTTGCTTTACAAATTCTCGAGTATCGATTTGATAATTTATAATAGATCTGAACTTATCATTAATTCAGACTTTGGAAGAATGATGATCTTATTGGTGTTCATAAGAAATTTTGGAATGAATGGCCTGATTCAGTAATCTAATTGAATTGAATCCTTTTGCCTTAAGGGATCGACTACGTTCCCTGAAAGTAGGATCTAATAATGAGGGAGAGATACTCGCATTTTGTTAATGTTTTTGGCAGCTAATGGTAGTTCAATACGAAATTCACCATTTATGTTATCTGTTGCTTATTGCCTGTCCTGAGAAATGGATGCATCTATTTACAGTTCATTGATGCTTTTGTACATGTTGCTACATTACATTATCCTAATGTAGTCTCTCGGGAAGGAAGGACGATGTTGTTGGGATTTATTTCAGCCATTAGTTGTTTGATGGTGATAATGCAAATAGATTGATGTTCTGTTGATCCTTTTCTGTAGAAACAAGACTAAGTGGTAAATCATGCCCCTAGTTAAGCTTTGAAATTCATCTAATATTTAGTGTATATAAGTAGATCATGGAGTCGATAACTTTTCCTATTGGGCTCTGTGATAACATTGGCTCACAAATTGCGATGTCAGGTTGTGTTCTTTTAGGGTGTATTTGTTTGGGGTTTAAAAATTTTGAATTAGAATAGTTGTATAATGTGATATAAATAGGCGTGACGTGATGTTCTGACTGTAAAATTAATTTTTAGTATAATATAAAAAATAAAAAATAGGTATTTGATTTGATATTTTTAGGGGGAAAGTTTTGATGAATAGTAAATTTTGGGAAGAGTCCCCCAAACAAACACACTTGGGAAATTGTGATGTTGTTTGTATGAAGTAGTTTTCATTATGTTTTATTGATAAATGTGGGTAAAATTTCTTTTATCGGGTAATGGTGTAACGCATAAAAGAACTAACTCTTATAGGACTCCTTAAGAACTACTTCAATGGAAAACTCCTTTTCAACTTTTATTTTCCGTACCTTGTAGAAAACATCAGTTCCTAATATTTCTTGGAGAAAGATGAAAATTGAGCCTTAGAGTTCAAGGAATGTTATAGGGTACACTTTGACTTAATTGGGTTGTCGAACTTGTTTTTAAATGTGTAAAATGTGAAGAGATATGATAGAAATTGCAAAGTGTAGCATTGTAGTATGCATGAAGTAAAATGGTCAAATGTAAATATTATAACTTTGTAAAATTATAAGAGTGAAGTTGAACGGTATAATTTATTATTATTTTTTTTTCAACTACATCAAAAAACTTGTTGAATCACATAAGAAATACTTTCGACGGTACAAAACATCATAGGATTGAACTGCTGAATTGTGGTGTGAATCTATGAAATCGTAATTTATGTCTTTCTTTCCTGTTTTTAGTTTTTGGTGTTTTTAATGTTAGGTTGGAGAGTGTGTGTTGATAATATAAAAAATACTATTTCGTGTTGATTTTTATGAATGGGTAAAATTATATTAAATAGATAAATAAATATAGTTGTCAAATTAACAACAGCATTCGACTATAGTGACCAGTTTTTCATTGGTTACATCATTAAGTATAGCGTATAAAATCTTGACAATAGCTCGTGTGATGGGAACCTTGTATGTACGTAAATTGATTGTGATATCGCATCCCATCAAGGTTATGTACCGCTAAAATGATTGGCTCACATACATCTTTGGCTTAAGGATATTTATCCACGGCACATGCGAATAACTATTTATTTTTCTTGTATAGACGTTAACCTTGCTCTTCGTATAGGTTTTCATACAAACATCGAGATATTTTACTGCTGCTTATAGAATTTGGGTGTGTTTGTTTGAGAATTTGGAATTTTTAATAGTAAAGTTTGAATCTAAGTAGTTGTTCGATGTGATCTAAACAATCTTGAAAAATTAGTTTGTCGACAATTGTTTCTACTAATTTTCCCTTTCTTCCAGTCTGAAGTTTTCGCCGTTGCATTTGCGCTGCTCGCGGCTGGTGCTATAATTCTGACGATGAACGTATTACTGCTGGTAAATAATTCCTCCCGATTTACTATTTCACACAACATTCTTGGTAATTAAATAACTTTACGAGCATTCGCATTGCAGGGCGGCCACATCATCTTCTTCCAAAGCCTGAGCCTCCTCGGGTACTGTCTATTCCCACTGGACGTCGGAGCCTTGGTGAGCATGGTATTAGGCGGCGTAATAGTCAAAGTAGCAGTGGTTGCCGTGACATTGGCATGGAGCTCGTGGGCTGCGTATCCTTTCATGAGCACAGCTGTCAACCCGAGAAGGAAAGCTCTCGCTCTCTACCCCGTCTTCCTCATGTACGTCTCCGTCGGATTCCTCATCATCGCTATCGACTGATTTTTGACTTTCGACTCCAAAAATCTCCCCCTTGGATTCTATCTTGATCTCTCCACAAAATTCACGAGTCGATTACTTGGACAGCTGTGAGAATTATAATAGTGTATAGATGTGGATTGTGCAGTGACAAATTTTCATATAAATCATAAACCTCAATTATTATTGTTGTTATTGTTATTATTATTACTTTGTGGAAACTTTTTGCATTCTTTTGAGTGCGGACAGAATTTAAGAAGACAGTTGTTTGGTTTGGGACTGGACAGTGTGAGTTGAAAGGTTGCTTAATGTACGCCGTCCGATCGAAGGGATTAGGGAATTTGGGTTAATACGCACCGTCCGATCTGTCGATCTAGGGTTGGGGAATTGCAGCAGCTCTGATATGCTGACTTGCTGTTTTTTTTCCTCTTGATTTTACTATTTGTTTAGCTTCTATTTATTCATTTCTTCTTCCTTCTATATATATATATTTCTTCCTTCTATATATATATTTTTTTAAAGTAAGTGTCGCTATATATGTTAATTATATTTTAAATTTTGTAAATTATAATTTTTAAATTTTAATTAAATTATTTTTTTATTTTAATTTTAATTTATAATTATTTATTAATAAATTTTTTAATTATGTACTCCTTTTGTCAAAGGTAATTTGGGCGTGTTACCATAGTCACAAAAATTTAAGTAAAGTATAATTAGTAAATAATTAGTATTGTATAATAAAAATAATTATAAATTAAGATTAAAATAATTAAATATTTTAATTTAAATTAAAAAATTATAAAATTTAAATTTTAAAATATAATTAAAATATATAATTATATTTCAAAGAACTAGCAAAAATAAAAAATAAAGAAATTACGTAGGACGAGGGGTATTAATTATTATATTTTATTTAAGTATATGTATATACAATAATATAGACATTTTAATTGGAACGCAAAAAGTATTTTATTTTTATGTTGGGATAAGTGGCGACACATCAATGATTCTAAGTCACGTCGCATTTATTACTATCTTTTTTTAATGTTTTTATACGATTCTCACATGTATTTTTATTTATATATTTTTTTAAAAAAATATATTATTTAATATTCCCTCGGTCCCACGTATCATATCTGCTACACTGTAAATATGAGATTTTAGAGGAATATAATTAGTAGATAATTAAAAATATATTAATGAAATAATTATCTTATAATATAAATAATTATAAATTAAGATTAAAATAACTAATTAGTTTAATTAAAATTAAAAAAAAAATTTAAAATTAAAAAATTTAAAATGAAATTAAAGTATGTAATTATTTTCAAAAAAAAAAAAAAATGACATGGTACGTGGGACGGACAGAAACGGCAACGACATGGTATCTGGGACGGAGGGAGTATAAAATATTATTTTTAATATTTTAAAAAATAAAATCAAAATAAAAACACTAAACAAACCAACTTATTATTTTTTTTCCTTTATTTAGAAAAAAATTATGAAATATTTTATAAAAAAATAATTATTATAATGTTATTAATTTTAATAATATTATTTACTTATTTTAATTTTAATTTATAATTTTTCTATACTAAACGTCACTATTATAACTAAAGTCTTATCGAACAATTTTTAGTTTATTGACCGATCAAAAAATTAATATAGTATTTGAGAAATAAGTTTTTTGAAACAGCTTATTAGATCTAAAAAATTAATTTTTGAAAAGTTATTCTACCCGGCATTTTATAATAGTGTTTTCATTCCATTTATATTTATTTTATAATTGTCTTTAAATATTAATTATTCTCCTTACACATAGTTATATTTATTATATTAATGTATTTATACTTTTTATCATTATAATTTTATTTTTAAAATTTCAAGTAATTGAAATAATTCAAAAATGTATTAACTTATTAATTCAAAGATAAATTATAAATATTATTAATTTATTTATATATGTATATATTTATTATATAAATTTTATATTTAAAATACATAAAATATATTAAATTTATGGAAAATTTTAATAATACCCCCTTCAAATTATTTTACAAAATAAACATATCCGTAATATTTTTTAAAAAAATAAGTATCCCTTCTATTAATGTTATATTCTTTATATACTTTAATTTGATATATGGATATTAATATAAATACTATAAATTTGAATATGATAGGTTTACACCTAATTTACTATATGTGTCTTTAGGGTTTGTTTGTTTGAAGATTTTCCAAGAAATATATTATTCATTCAATTTTTTCTTTAAAAAAATATCAAATCAAACGCTCATTTTTTATTTTTTTTATATTATATTAAAAATCAATTTACATTCAAAATATCACATCAACACCTATTTATATCACATCATATAATTATTCAAATTCAAAATTTTTACTATTCAAATCCAAACTCAAAATCCAAATCTTCCATACAAAATCGACACGAATGGGTAAAATATATATATATATATATATATAATGTTGCAGTTGTCACAGTATATGTAATAAAGGGTTCCTTTTGACAAGTAATTTAACTGTAACATGTGCCTAATTATAAATGTAAGTCATCATCTCATAAATATTATGATTGGATATGTCGTTTATTTATTAACTAATCATAGAAGAAAAAAAAAAAAAAAAAAAATTGAAATTTTTCTGATATTGGTCTTTTCTCACTTCCATTAATGTTTATTGGAAGTGTAATTGAAATCTTTTCAATATTATTTTATTTAGATATTTAAGATGATAATATTTAATTAATTATTATTTTTTCATATAATTAATTAAATTAATAATTTTGAAATAAATTTAATATATAATTAAAAAAATAAAATATATATTTAAATATTTTAAAATTATATCACAATAAAAATTATATTCAATTCAATATTATTTTAAAGATAATAAAATTTCTTATAATATAAATAAATAAAATAACACGGTTATTTATTTATAATTAATATAAACTAGTTTTATAAACATACGTAGAATTTAAAATATAAACAAAATATTTGTTTATTTAGAGGAAAGATAACAATAAATTAATTTTGAGTAGGTCCGACATATACTACTATATGTTATGTTGTTAATTACATTAATTTATATTTATTAAATGTGTTTTAATTTTGAGTAAGTAATATATAACAAAATATACTGTTGAAAAAAAAAATTGTGAGTGAATAAAATATGTATATTATATAAGTTTATGTAAATAATATACTTACTCTTGTTCCGTAAAAAAGGCAATATTTATCTTTTGCGTCATTGTACTTAACATTAAAAATATTATTATATTTGTATAATTTACTCCACACAAATGTCATTGTATTTGTATTATAAGAGATGAATAGAAATATTTTTGTTATTTGTATTTGATTTGTATTTGTATAATTTACTCTTCTTATGGATTTAATTTGATAACGTTTATCATAATTGTGTGCAATATTTAAATAAAAATATATATTTTAAATATATAACAATATTTTTCAAATGAATAAATTTTTTTTTCTAAATATTACAAAAAAACAAATATATCCTCTCTCCCTCCCTCCAAAATGCGAAAAATTTAAAATTATTTAAATGATAGTTGTTTCTATTTTATGTAATGATTAAAAATATCCTTACAGTTAAACGATATTGATAGTATTGATATTAATAATAATATGTTTGGTATAGAGAATAAAATTATAAAAAAAAATGATCATATAAACAATAAAATTATAGAAAAATAATAATATGAAATAAATTTTGAGAAAATAAATTCAACAAAGAATGATGATTGATGATTTCATTTGGTAAATTATAGAATCCAATTGAACATATAAAATAGAAATCTAACTATTTGGAAAAGGAGATATATTACAATTGAAAAAATAAATTTGATATTTAGTTGGCATTCTTTTTTTTTTTTTTTAATAGTAATTTGAATATAATATTTTATAGATCGAAATAGTATATTAATCAAAATTAAAAATTAAAAAAAAAAAAAAAGAAAAACCTTGGAATATTAAATTGTGAATATACACTACGAAACAATTTTGAAAGCCTCTTCTCCACTCCCCGCGCCTTTCCAACCTACCATCCTTCCATAAATCTTTCTATTTTTGGATTTTTATGCATTTTTTTTAAATTAAATTTCCCCATTTAGGAATATAAAAAATCACATGTTAAAATAATACTATTTTTATCTAAAATTTTGATCATATATATATTTTTTAAAGTAATATTTTGATTGAAAATCAATACATTTAACTGTAAAGATATATAGCCCATAGGACTTTATTTAGAAAGTATATCGTCTTAGAAATTTTAAAAATAGTAAAAAATTAAGAATTTAATGTAATTTTTATGAAAAAATAAATATTTGTTGTAATTTAGATTTTTTTTTTTTTTTAAATGCTAGTTGCATAAAAATAATTTTTTGGGTATATATAATAAAATCATAATAATTGAACAAACATTTAATTTCCACAATTTGTGCGACTATGCTACTCCGGCATTCGCCGTGCTACAGGTGATATTTAATGTGTATAAAGATTTTATATACTTTTTCCGTCTCATAACTAAATATCTATTTGTTTTTGGCAAGTAATTTTAGAAATATTAATATTATATTTGGACGTAGTAGGAATAAAATAGAAATAACTAAAATGCCCTGATATAAAGGTAATGGTATTTGTATAATATATTGTATATTGTAAGGGTATTTGTAATGTTAGGTAGATAGTACAATTACTAAAAAAAAAAAAAAAAAGAAATGGATACTTTTGTTATGGGAAGAACTAAAATGAAAAAATAGATACTTTGTTATGGGACGGCGGAGTATAAATTTAGAATATTCATTGTTGCTAGATTTATTTAATATGAATATTAAGATTTGTTTCTTTTGATACCTAACCCATGTTTCTATTATTTAAGCTTTATGTTTTTTTGAAAAAAATAAAAAAATTTTATAAAATATTTCATCATATATTATTTTAATACAAAATTTAAATAATTTTTTTTTTTTTACCAAACTCAGAAAAAATATATATATATATATTAAAAGAGAATATATATCCATATAAAATAATGCAAAACAGTTAAATTTATTCAATTTATACATCTTTTAATGGCTCAAGTGTGTGTATTTGGATTGGGATTTTAGATTGAAAATTTTTTGTTTGAATCCTTGAAAAAATTAATGTGATCTTAGAAATTTAGTAAAATATTAAAAATAAATAAATAAATAAATACATTTGTACTATTAGATTTAAGTTTGATTTTTAT